TCCTATAAAAATTCAATAATTGTAAAACTAGAATTACATTTCTATTGTAATATTTAAAATTCAGAGAAATTTAACCAACATTTTTTAAAAATATGATAAAAATGTTAAAATAATATAATAGGTAGTGGAACGCCAGACTTCTCCTACTGCTCCACCATTAAATTTATCTCAAAAAGTGGATAAACCTGAAAACATTCCTACTACTATTAGCAGTCATTTAAGCGGGTAAGTAAAGCAATTTGAGATTAAAAAATTTTATTTTTAACTTAAATGTTCATAATAAAGCTCAGATTTAAAGAGAACTAATCACATGAACACGCGCAGTTTTTAGGAAAATTGGAATTTTTAAAAAAATTTTTTGAATTAATTAAACTCATATTTCATCCAAAAAAACATTTTACTAATAAATAAAAAATAAATTTAATTTTCCTACCGATGAGCCGTGTCGCATTACAGTGCCGGCTGTGCCGCTTCCATTTTTAGACTTTTTTGCCCACCCATAAAAATGTTGTTAAATATTTTATTTTCGCATTGTAAAGACAGTAAAATTAAATAGAGAAAAATTCATATTAATTTAAATTTAAATCTGAAAAATTAATTAAAAACAAATAAAAATGATAAATTATAATTTTTTGAAAATTTAATTAAAACTTTAACTAGAATTACAATTTGTAAAACAAATAAACCTTAATTAAAACTTTAATTAAATAAAACCTTTTACAGATTACAATTTGTAAAAATAAATAAACTTGAAATAAAACTTTAATTAAACTTGAATTTTAATTAATTTTCAGGTTTATTTAATTTACAAATTGTAATTTATTCACAATTTGTAAAATACTAAAACTTTAAATAAAACTTGACGATTACAAATTACAATTTGTAAAAATAATAAACTTGAATTAAAACTTGAATTACAATTAATATTCAGGTTTATTTTACAAATTGTAATTTATTCAGAATTTGCAAATTACAATTTGTAAAATATAAAAACTTGAAATAAAACTTTAAATAAAACTTGAATTAAAACTTGACGTTTACAAAATACAATTTGTAAAAATAAATAAACTTGAAACTTAAATTTATTTGTTAAATTTTCAGAAGACAAAATCTTTGCGAAGATGATTTACTTTCTAAAACCTCCTTAAAATCAAAACAAAATTTACAAGAAATAAAAAGAAATATTATTAAAGATACCGGCAATACAATAATAATAAAAAGAAGATTACCAAAAATTTTATTAAAAAGAAAATCTTTGTCGAAAAGTTGGAAATCTTCACAAAAAAGAAAAATTGTAAAAATTCCAGAAGAAAAAGGTAAGAAAAAAATATTTAAAAAATAAAAAAAATATTGGAAATAAAAAAGCAAGTGAGCCGGAAAAGGCTAAATACCGGATGTCGATTGGCACGAAAATACTAAAAAAACATTTATATATTTTTGAGGGAAAATAAAATATAAAAAAGTTGCAAGAGGAAATGATATGTAAAAAAAGTTTATTTTATAATACTCAAGTTTATTTAAAAATAGCCCTAGCATTTTTATAAAAGAAACAAGTTTGAGTTTGTAAAACAAGTTTATTTTTAAAAATAAAGCAAAGTTTGTTTTGTAAAACTTGTTTTACAATTTGCGAAACAAGTTTTATTTGTTGTAAAAAAGTTTTATGTATTTTGTGAAGCTTGTTTCACAATTTGTGAAAAAAAGTTTATTTTTGTAAAGAAGGTTTATTTTTTAGAGCAAGTTTTACAATTTGTAAAACAAGTTTTATTTTAAATTTACTATTTAAAAATTAAATAAAAGGAGAAAGAAAAATAAGTTTGCAATCTTTATATTATTGAAAAATAAATTTCTATAAATTGTGAGGATTAAAGTTTAACATAAAAAAAGATCAGATTTCAAAGCATCATAATTTTAGAAAAAAATAATTTTATTTTTATTTAAGAGATTATTAAAGATTGTAAAGTTGCCATTCTCAAATTATTTTAAAATAATTTGCAGGCTATTTGAAACCAATTTTTATTTTTACTTTTTGATATTTTCAAGTAAAGATCAAAAAATTAGAAAAATATTAAAATTATTTTTTAAAGTAAAATTATAAGTATATTTAAAATATTATTTTTTTAAATTGACATATGTAGGAAAAGTATTAAAAAGAATAAAACTTGTCTTACTATATTTTTTACAAATTGTAAAATATTCCAACTTGAATTTAAAATTTCAAGTTTATTTAAAACTTGTTTTACAATTTGTTTTTACAAATTGTAAAAACAAACTTGACTAGGCGGAATTAATTTGTGATAAAACAAATTTCAAGTTTATTTAAAAATTCAAGTTTATTTTACAAATTCCGGAAACACAAACTAAACATTAAAAAAATAAACTTGTTTTACAATTTGTAATTATATATTAGTCTAAAACTTGTTTTATACTATTCCTTTCTTTTGGGGATAAATAAATTTTATTTTGTTAGTTGTTAATGTTAGCCGGAAGGAGTAGTCGTAATGGGAAGGGTTTGGGGCTCATTACAGTTTTATGTGTTTAAGAAATTGGGGAGGAAGGAAAGAAGAAATTGGTTTAAAGAAGAAGAAAATATTTATTTTTTTTCTATTCTTTGTTTTTTTATAAAATTCTTCCCCCTTGGGGACATTGAATTATTTAGAGGGAAAACAATGAAAATAGCTCCAGTCTATTTTTTGGTTAGTAAATCTTTTTTTTTCTCGCCTTCCAAAAAAATCGAAAAAGAAAAATACATAGAGAAGCAAAAAAGAACAGAAAAGAATAATTAAGATTTAATAAAAGTCTTTTACAGACAGAAAAAAATATATAAAAATTTATTTTTGTTTTCCGGTTTGGAGGAAAAAATTTTGTTGACATGCCATTGTTTTGTTAGTTTTGAATTTTATAAATTGAATGGGAAAATAAGCAGAAAATTGGGGGAGGAAAGCAATTTTTTAGAGTTTTTGTTGCATGACAGGAAGAGAGTTGAAATAAAAGTTTTTTTTACAATTTTATAAAGTTGAAAAAAAAGTTGGACATAAATTGTAAAAAAAATTAGAGGAAATTGTAAAAATGTTGGGTAAATTGTAAAACAAGTTGGAATTAGTAATAAGTTTGTAAACTTGGAAATAAACAAACTTGGAAAAATACAAATTGTAAAAACTTGAAAATAGATAAACTTGGAAAAATACAAATTGTAAAACTTGGAAATAAACAAACTTGGAAAAATACAAATTGTAAAAACTTGAAAATAAATAAACTTGGAAAAATACAAATTGTAAAACTTGAAAATAAACATTTTTTACAATTGTAAATTGAATTTGTAAAAAAAAGTTTTAATAAAATTTATTTATTTTTAAGTTGTAAATATCGGGCAACAAAAAATTAAAGAAAATAAAAAAGAGGAAAAAGCAAAGCAAAAAACAATTGAAGCACCTCTTACTACACTTCCTCCTCCTGTTGAACTTGAAGAAGCTTTGGGTTAATAATAAATATAATAAATATATTAAATTAGAAATTCAGGAAAAAATATGAGGGAAATTTCACGAAATTTAAAAAAATGCGAAACGAAACGAAATTTTCGAAACACGAAACAGAACGTTAGAAAAAAATTTTTTCTATGAAAAAAAAAAATAAAATAAAATCAAAAATAATTTTAGAAAAAATAAACAAAAACAACCAGCAAATACCAACAACAAATTGGCACAATTTTCAATTAAATATTAAAAATTTCAATTACCAACAACAATACAAAATTAATAATCGTTTAAAGCCTTATTGGGTAGCTGATAAATTAGAAAATATTTTTGGTATTTATGGTTCCAGTAAAAAAGAAAATCCAAGGCCGGCACCTCCTTCTGAGTATGGAGAAGTGAGGATTGTTGGTGGGGGCATTTGAAGATTAATTAATTAATTAAGCAATAAATTAAATTAATTTTTTTGTGATTTTATGTATTTTTTGATGTAAAATTTAATAAAAAAATAAGGCAAAAAAATTTTTTAAATTACCCCTCAAAAAATTCCAATTTTCCCCTAATTAGTTAAAATGATTATTTTTCAAATTCAAAGATCAAATAAATATAGGCAAAAATTAATAATAATAAAAAAACCAAAAGACCAACTTTCTTTGAAATTGCCTTCATTTCCGGTAAAAATAAAAATAATTTAATAATTCTATTAACAATTAATTGGTGGAAAATGTTGGTGAAAACAATTGAGAAAGACATAAAAACTTAAATAAAATGTGAAAGACAGAAAAATACAAAAGGAAAAACACAAAACAAATAAAACAGAAAAACAATGAAAAATACAAAACCAGAATTATTATTTAAAAGAAAATACAACTTTGTAAAAATCAGAATTAGGTATTTTTAAAAAGAAAACACAAAAGAAATACAGCTCTCCTAAAGACCAGAATTATTAATAAAACCAGAATTATTTTTAGAAAGAAAACACAACGAAAATACAACTTTCATAAAAATCAGAATTATTTTTTAAGACAAAAATACAAAGAAAACACAACTTCCCTAAACACCAGAATTTTTATTAAAACCAGAATTAATTAAAAAAATACACTCCTAAAGACCAGAATTATTTTTTAAACAAAAACACAAAATACAACTTTGTTAAAAATCAGAATTTTTATTAAAAAGAAAACACAAAGAAAACACAATTTTTCCTAACGACCAGAATTATTATTAAAATCAGAATTATTAAAAAAAGAAAAATACAAGGAAAATACAACTTTGTTTTTGTTTTGCTTATTAAAAGAAAATTAAAATGCGCATTTCTAATAACAAACAAAAATAAATTTGGCTAATTTTGGTAGACATTTAAAGCAATTACTAAAATTGTGTGCCGTATAAAATAAAACATTTGTTAAGTATAAAAATATTTTTCTTTCTAATTTTTAGAGTCATTTCCTCCCAAAAACACAATTATTTAAATATCCTTCCCTAGTAAAAATTAAATAATTTTTTTGTTTTATAAATTTTGTTTTAAAAAATAAAAATTGATATCATCCGTGGAAGAATGAATTATCTATTATCTTCAAGTTTTGTATTTTGGTTAACAATTGGTCTAATTTTGGGAGAAAATTCAGCTTATGCTGCAGTAAGTTTAATTATTAAAAAAAATGTTAAATTACAAACTTGAATAAAATAAACTTGAAAAGTACAAACTTAAACAATAAACTTGAAAAAATAAATAAACTTGAATTACAAACTTGAATAATAAAAATCAGAATTCTTATAAACACAAACAGGCGGAATTTCTGATTTTTATTTAAAATCAGAATTTTTACAAAAGAAAACAATCAGAATTTCTGATTAGTAAATAATTACAAACTTGAAAAATACAACATTGAAAGAAATAAACTTGAATTTCAAACTTAAAGAATTCTGAAATTCAAGTAAACTTTAAGTAAACTAAAAGAATCAGAATTTAATAAACTTGGAAAATAAATCAGAAATAAACTTAAAACAAATAAACTTGAATTAAATAAAATCAGAAGTCCTAAATAAACTTGAAGCAAACCAGAAGCAAAATAGACAAACTTGAAACAAAAATATTAACCCTATCTAAATAAAATAAATTAATAGCCATTTGACCCCTATGAGTTTGAAATTCAATCAGCACCAATTATTTATCGACGCTCTCTAATTAACAACTTGCCTATGTTGTCTCCACAAATAGTTGCTCGTCGCAGTGTTCACCCCTGTAGATGGAAGTTGTGTGGTGCTTATAGCAATTATAATACTTTGGGATAATTAAAAAAATAATTACAATCAAAATTTTTTTTCAGAATTTACTTAAAAAATATTATGGTTAATTTTTAAATAAAATCCTTTTTGACTAAAAATTTTTTTTGAAAATTCTGTCGCTTGCCCTTTAAATATATAATATAATGGGAGGAGGAAAAAATCGTTATTTTAATGGGACCGTTGCACCCAAAGCAAAAATTATACCACTTAACCACATTCAACTTTAACTTGAATTAGGTAAAATAGAAACACCTAAATAATTGGGGATTTTTGGAGGAATTAATTTTAACCGATTTTTGAAAATAAAATAAAAAAAATTTTTTTTGAGAACCTAATAAGCATCTTACTCGAGTCACATATTCAATTAAACATACAATTTTATTACACCAAATATAATTAATATACAACACCATACAAATACAATACAACAAAAATTATGACACAAACAAATGAATATAATACTCGAAAAGGGTAAATATATTTAGGGGGCTTACAAACAAGTTTATATATAGTTAGGGATAAGGGTGAATTTTAGAATTAGAGTATCACACACAACATTTATTCTTCTCTTATTATTCACACTTCAGTTTTTCCTCTTCCTTCCTTTCTGCCCGTTCAAGTCTCGTTTTTACTCGTATCGAAGCCCAATGAAGATTTGTCGTTGTAGGAAAGGATTTGAGTGCCACCAACAGTCGTTCCCCCTCCAGCAGCCGACATTCCGCTCTTTATTTGTGTACTGCCCACAGTACTCCATCCAGTCTGTGTCTTCGCTGAAGTCCCTCCAGCAGTCCCCTTAGCGCCAGTAGTTCCCACCGTCGTTCCAAAATAGTCAACTTCTACTGGTTGTTGTTCCTCTTCCTTCTTTTCTTCTTTTTTGCGGAATACCAAGAACCAGAGAAGACAGCCAATGATGCTGAGAACACTGAAAATTGAGAAGAAAAATTTTTTTTGAAAATTTCTTTTTCTCAAACTCACATCAAAAAGACGACGACAGTGATGATGACGACAACGACCACATTCGAACTTGAAGCTGGGGAAGGCTCTTCTTCTTCTTCCTCTTCTTCTTCTGGTGTTTCTGTTGTCCTTTTCGGCTTCCTTGTCTTTTTCATGTTTACTATATTTCTTGTTTCACGACTACTATAGACTATTGGAGGTTCGGTCGGCTTTTCTGGTGCTACAAGCAATCTGAACTGTTTGGTGCTCTAAAAGGATTGAAAAAATGAAAGTTAAGGTTTAGCTTAAAAGACTAAAGCTCACCAATTTAATGTACAAATAGTCACAGTTTGGTCCATCCAGCATTTCATCTTTAAGATCCTTTAAGTCCTCCGTCCTGCGCCGTGCCGCTTTCTGTGGTAGCAAGTAGAGGGTGAAGAGATATTTGAAGGATCCCTTGTCTGTGTACTTCTCATCGGTGATCTCCCATCGTTTGAAGTCTCTGAGAGCTTTGCCATATATGTAGCAGAACGGGTCTTTTTCCATAGCGTTCAACCCTTTATCGCCGACAAGAGTTACCCAGTCCTTATTAACGCTGTAGATGACTAGCTGGTAAACAAAGTCTGTACAAGACTTGTCAAGTTTGCAGAGTTTCCTCTCTCCGCCATCCAAAGTGGTGTTCCATACCACAGGCTCGTCAACTGAAAAAATTTGGAAAAAAATATTTGGGTATGGGGGGAAATGAATGCTCCTACCTAGCGTCAACATGGGCATCAAATACTCTCTGTCCCTGCCAAATCCCACCATAAAGTCAGCGACCTTCAAGCAGTAGCCTTTACGATTCAAGCACTCTGTTTCCTTCCAGCAGTTACTGCTATTCCCTCTTCGAGCTTGATTCTTGCCATCCTTGAGCTCCTCAAATTGACCTTCGCCAAGACTGTACGTGAACGGCAACCTGAACAAAAATGAGAAAGTATTTAGCGCTAACCACAGTAAACTCACATATTGTGAGTGGCCAAACACTCTGGATTAGAATATTTAATGCCAATATACACATCGAGATTTTCGTTCTTCGTAGCAACCAGATCCAAGACGCATCCTTCTTTAGCCGCTCCGTCCTTCTTGTACAAAATCTTTCTGCAATAAAAAATCAAAATTAGTTCGCTAAGCTTAAAGTAAGCGTTTAAAACTCACATAAAGTCTGTGCCATCCCACTCCACATCTTTACACGCCTCTGGCAGATTCTTCAATGAAGACAAGTCCGCTCCCTCTTTGACCACCACCATGTTGCTGCCCAGCTTTGAGATCTTCCCATTCCCGTCCAATTCATGCTTGCCGGCACCGACCTTTGCGCATTGAACCAAGCCTCCAAATAGAAGAGCAGCAGCAACCAAGTGAAGAGAAGACGAGAGCAGCGACGACGACGAAGGCACCCAAGTGCAGCGACGGAGCTTTGCCATCCTGAGCAAGTTTTGAAGTGAAGAGAAGAAAATGTTGTTTTAGTTGGAGTTGAAGAATGAGGTAAAGGGATTGTAAATCAGAATGCTTTTATAGTATGATTGACCGTTATCGGGATCGGAGACAGGGATTAGCTTGACTTAGACTAATTTGAATTCCTCCTATTTTTGATGAGACTGATACTGAGACAAAATAGACTTCAAGCCTTCTCAATATAAGTATCAACTCTAGGATCCTGATGCTCTTTTCAACTCGATGGCTTTCTCAGGTTCCAAGCCCGTTTTATTTCTGTTTCAGCTTCTTCACCTTCAGCCCTCATGTTAATGATATCAAAGGATAGTGAACTTACGTGTTATAACTTTCTAATGAGTGATCAGACCTGAAAAAATAAGGTACCGCTTATCGAGGGCTTTCAATGAAATAAGATTTATTTGAATTGGATCAGGCACCTACTGAAAATAAAAATTTTTCAAAGAAGGGAAGGCATTCTTAAACGTTATCCTTTAATTCAAAAAGACGGAAAAAACACAAAAAAAAATCCACACACGGCGTCGAACCTTAACCCTTCCCTTCAAAAGCTCGGAATTAACCCACTACACCAACACTAAACCTAGTCGATAGTTTATAAATTCACCCCTTCGAGAACCTAGGAAGCAGAGATGGGTCGGAACAGTCAGAGGTGTCGGAACTCGGAAGAGCCGGAAATCGTAACTGGCTGAAAAGTCGGAACTCGGAAATCAAAATTTTTTCGAAAATCGGAAGGAAAAAACGTCAAAAATCGGAATTCCGACCCACTTCTGCTAGGAAGCAAAGACATTTTTAAGTCATAAATCCAATCAAAAAATTAAGACAAGTTTATTACATCCAAATATAATTAATATACAACACCATACAAATACAATACAACAAAAATTATGACACAAACAAATGAATATAATACTCGAAAAGGGTAAATATATTTAGGAGGCTTACAAACAAGTTTATATATAGTTAGGGATAAGGGTGAATTTTAGAATTAGAGTATCACACAACATTTATTCTTCTCTCATTATTCACACTTCAGTTCTTCCTCGTTGTCGACGCCGCTGAAGTTTTGCCGCTGTATTTGGACTTGATTTGGGTGCCACCAACAGTCTTAGTCGTCCCCCCTCCAACAGTCGTCGACATTCCGCTCTTTGCTTGTGTACCGCCCACAGTACTCATCCCAGTCTTTGTCTTCGTTGCAGTCCCTCCAGCAGTCCCTCCGGCAGTTTTCGACGTGCCAAAATAGTCTTCCAATGGTTGTTCTTCCTCCTCCGCTTTTTTACGGAATACCAAGAACCAGAGAAGGCCACCAATGATGCTGAGAACACTGAAAATTGAGAATAAAATTTATTTTTGAAAATTATTTTTCTTAAACTCACATCAAGAAGACGACGACAGTGATGATGACGACAACGACCGCATTCGAACCTGAAGCTGGGGAAGGCTCTTCTTTTGGTGCTGTTGTTGTCCTTTTTGGCGGCTTTGTCGTTTCCTCAGGTTCTGTTGTCGGAGGAGGTTCGGTCGGCTTTTCTCCAGGAACGAGCAATTTGAAGTTTTTGGTACTCTAAAAATGAAAAATTTAAGGTCAAGTTGAGCTTCAAAACATTAAAACTCACCAATTTGACGTACAATTCGCACTCTGGCCCATTCAGCGTTGTTTTCAAAAGCCTTCTAACGTTCTTTTCGTCCGTCCAACTGCTCCGTGCCGCTTTCTGTGGCAGCAAGTAGAAGGTGAAGAGATGTTTGAATTCCTTGTCTGTGTGGCTCTCATCGGTGATCTCCCACTGTTTGATGGCTCTGAGACGTTTTGGGTCCGTCTTCTTGAAGCAGAGTGGATCTTCTTGTTCGAAGTCCAACCTTTTGTCGCCGACATCCGTTTGCCACAGTTCCTTCTTGGTGTTGTCGATGGTGAGCTTGAAACTGTAGTCCACAAACCACTCAATTTTTTGGGAAGGCTTCCCATTTGTTCCGTCCAAAGTGCTGTACCATATCACGGGCTCGTCAACTGAAAATTTTGGGAAAAAATTTTTTTGGGTTAAAAAAATGAGGAAATGAGAGTTTATACCTAGCGTCAACATGGGCATCAATAAACTATAGGCTCTGGCAAATCCAACCATGAAGTCAGCGACCTTCAAGCAATAGGGAGCTTTACGATCATAGCATTGACCCTGATCCCTGCAGTCATTGTTTGTGCCTCGTCGATGTCCACTCTCGAAATCCTTGAGCTTCTCAAATTCACCCTCGGCAAGGCTGTACGTGAACGGCAACCTGAAGAAAAAATTTTAGAAGCGTATAATTAGAGCGTTTCCGATGAACTCACATGTTGTTTGGAGTGTACTCAAAATCGTCATGCTTCCCTCCCAGACACGCGTGATCAGAGTACTCGATGCCAATGTTCACAGAGAGCTTCGTGTCCTTCTTAGCGACCAGATCCAAGACGCATCCTTCTTTAGCCGCTCCGTTCTTCTTGTACAAGATCTTTCTGAAAAATGAAATCAAAATTAGTTCACTAAGCTTCACCAAACGTTTAATGAAAACTCACATCCAGTCTGTGCCAACCCATTCCACATCCTTACACGCCTCTGACAGATTCTTCAATGGAGACAAGTCCGCCTTCTCACTGACCACCACCATGTTGCTGCCCAGCTTTGAAATCTTGCCATTCCCGTCCAATTCATGCTTGCCGGCACCGACCTTTGCGCATTGAACCAAGCCTCCAAATAGAAGAGCAGCAGCAACCAGGTGAAGAGAACACGAGAGCAGCGACGACGACGAAGGCACCCAAGTGCAGCGACAAAGCTTTGCCATCCTGAGCGAGTTTTGAAGTGAAGAGAAGAAAATGTTGTTGTTTTGGTTCGAGTTGAAGAATGAGGTAAAGAAGTGAAAATTATAGAGAGCTTTTATAGTATGATTGACCGGTATCGGGATCGGAGACTTGACTTATCTTGACTTGGCTAATATGAATCTCTCCTATTTTTGCTGAGACTGATACCGAGACAAAATACAGACTTGAAGTACTAGTTCCGTAGTTCTAGTTCCAAACTAGTTCCAGATAATCGTTAGTTCCGTAGTTTCTGGAACTGAAACTAGAACTAATTAGTTCCGGAACTGGAACTTTGACATCACTGGTGATCAGTCATTTTAGTATCACACTTTTTTCGAATTCCTTATTTTTTGCTGAAACCGATACTGAGATAGAATACAGACAAAGACTTTCCCTATTAGCTCTCAAAGCCCGATGGCCTCATGTTTCAAAAAAAGAGAGAAGGCCGTTAATTGTACCACAGAAGAGTTAAGTGGTTATGATTAAATTAAATTTTAGAAAATTTAAAAAAATCTGTCACTTGCCTAATTTTATTAATCAAATAAAAAATAATTTTGTTCTTTAATTTTCACACAAATAATAATTTTTGTAAGAAAAATTTTAAATATTTTTTAAATGAGGAATGGGGGAGGGATGGAAATTAATTTTATATTAGAGATAAAACTTTAATTAATGAGAGACAGGTGCTTCTGATTTTTAAAATTAAAATCAGAATTTTTACAAATCACAAAACTAAAAAGGCGGAATTTCTGTTATTTATTTATAATCAGAATAATTAAAATCAGAACAACCTTTATCTAACAGGCGGAATTTCTGATTTAAAAAATAAAAAAAATTCTGATTTTTATTTAATTAAATCAGAAATTGTAATAAAAATACAATTTCTGATTTTTATTTAAAATCAGAATTTTTACAGAAAAAACAGACGGAATTTCTGATTTAAAAATAGAATAATTCTGATTTTTATTTAATTATAAAATTCTGATTAAGGTTTTAAATCTCTAATATATTAATAGACACAACCATATTTTAAAAATAAGTATTATTATAATAATTTTTAGAAGAAAGCCTAAACAAATGAAATTATCTCCTATTACCACACAAATTTTAATTTTTTTCCTCTCAACTTCAATTTTTGTAAAAAAATTTCTATAAATTCAGAATATTTGTGATTTATTTTTAGTCTTCTAAATTGCGGAAAGCTGTCTGAAAAAAAATTTTTTTTTTATTTTTTTAAATTAATAATCCACCTGCATACGCTCATAAAGATCATCAAAATCTTTTTTTATTTTTTCCTCACCATCAACTATAGGATCCTTTAAATTAAAATTTTTTTTAATTTTTTAAAATTTTCTAAAAATTAAAAAAAAGCACCTTAAATTTCATAGAAGACAATTCATAAATTAATTCATTCATATGATCACGAATAATTGCCCAAGTAATTTTATTGTCAGATTGTGCAGTAGATTCAACTGCATGACGGGCAAAGTCATAAAATGCAATCCTTTATTTAATTTGTATTTTGTTGGAAAATAAAATAGAAAAAATACAAAAAATCAGAAACAGATAAGTTTAATTTGTATTTTTGATTTAAATAATTCTGGTTTTTGTGTTTTCTTTAAATTATTTTTTACCCCTTGTTTTATTTCAACTTATTCTGATTTAAAACAAAAAAAGAGAAAATACAAAAAAAAACACAAAAATCAGAATTATAAAAATCAAAAATACAAAAATCAGAATTATTCGAAAATACAAATGTTCAAAACAGAAAGACACAAAAATCAGAAATAAATTAAAATCAGAATTTTTACAAAAGCAATAAGGCGAGAATTCTGATTGAAAAACACAAATCAGAAATTCAATCCTAACAATTAAAAAAATTCTGATTCTGATTTTAATTATTGAAAACACACACAACCAGAATTATAGGAAAACAAAACACAAAATAAAATCAGAACAAAACAAAAACACAAAAAATCAAAACAAACCAAAAACACAGACCAACACAACCAATTAAAATCAGAACAACAAAAACACAATTAAAATCAGAACAAAACAAAAACACACCAACAAACACAATTAAAATTCAAACAAAACTTACATATTTTTCATCATTCCAACAGTTTTGTAAAACGGACAAAAACGATCATAAGGTGCATAACCATTTTGTTGGAGAAAATCGTCTTTAATAATTTTTGCAACTTCAAGAGTAATTTTGTCAGATTCAGCTAACGAAGCTTTGCCTACAAGTTGAACAATTTCAGAGAGATCTTCTTCTTCCTAAAAATAATTAAAATTCTAATTTTTTAAAAGATAATTCTGAATTTTAAAAATTCCTATTTCTGAAGATTTTTAAATTATATTCTAATTTTTAAAATCACGTTTTCTAAAAATTCTGATTTTTATATTTTCTAGAAAGTCTGATTTTTGCATTTTTAAAAATTCTGATTTTAATTGTGATTTAAAAAATTCTGATTTTTGTATTTTTAAAGATTATGATTTTTGTATTTTTACAATTATTTCTGGTATGTGCATTTAATTCAAATTAAAAACACAAACAAAATTACCTGTAAAATTTCTTTGTATTTTGTACGAAGAGGGACAAATTCAGGGAAATTCTTTTCATAATAATCATCTAATGCTCTCATATAATTACTGGAAAAATAATTTATTTATTTAATTTCTCCCCTTATATTTTTTAATTAAATTTAATTAAGAATTTTTAAAAAGGCGTTAACTTGAAAAAAATTTTAAGTTAAAGATGATCAAAAATCAACTCGATAATTTTCCAAAATTATTATAAGGTACATATTTTGTGTTTTATTCGTATAAGAAACTTTGTTTTAGTATATTATGCTAAAACTAGAAACATTATATAGAAATAAATTTAATCGTGTAACAGTTAAAAAAATATTTTTTTAGAAGAAGAGAGAGGAAATAAATAATGTACATACAACCTATTTTAAGGAAAAGATCAGAAAAAAATGTTTTTTCCTTTATTGTAATAATTTTCTAAATTAATTACTATTTAAATCAAAAAAATTTTTCCGTCCTAAAATTAAATGATCACAAATTTTATATTTTATTTTTTTCATAAATTAAAAAAAACTTTTTTCCCTTTCCAAAATATTAAAAAAATTTTCTCAAAAATAACTTCCTCCAAATTTCCAAAATTACAAAAAATAAAAACAGAAAAAAAGTTTTTTAATCAGGAATCTCAAATAAAATTTTTCTTCCAAAATTAAAAATCAAAATTTTTTATTTTAAAAACAAACTCTCTCCTAAAAAATATTACGTCATTTACCCCTTCACAAATAGCCTCTATATAGGACTCTAAAAATTCTTATACAATATAAAATTATTTTTATATTTTTTTGTTGTCAATAGTAACGCATCTTTTAAAGAATGGCATTATATTCTTATATATTTATTGGCCAAAAAATTCTCTCACACATTTAAACACCTCTACCTATATTTATTTACAGCCCCAAAAGTTTTTTTCTTTCACCTTCTTACCCACTTTAAAAAAATTATTTATTTTATCTTTACCTAACTGTTGCACAAAAATATGAATTTGATCACCTTGGTAACCCCTTTATTTCATTTTAAAATTAATTAAAAAAAATTTTTTTAACTCCAAATAAATTAAATATATTGTGTGTGTCTTTTAAAATGATTAATGAAAATTTAAATGAATGAAAAAAAACTTTTAAAAAATTAAAATTCAAAAAAAAATTATTTAAATATTGCAAAGGGTCAGTTGCCTTGAAAAAAATTTTTAAATTAAGCCAGGTCACAATTAACTAATAACACAAATTTAATTGCAAAAAGGATCTTTAATTTATTAAAGATGCTTAAAATTAAAAAACACATTTGAAACTAAAAAATTAAATTATTTAAAAAAATAATTTTAAAAAATTATTTTTTAGAAAACCATAAATTTAAATATGTAGGTAAAAGACACTAGGAAATGATAACACTTATTATTTTTTTCTCTTCCGTATTTTTAAAATTTTAATTATATGTGTAATCCAAATATTTAAAAAGTGAATTACTAAGCTTTACATTTTCCCCTTTTATTTTCACTTTTATTTTTCATTTATTTATTTAAATAAGTCAACCGCTTAACTCTCTTTCCCTCTCTCCATTTTTTCTCGCGCACACAACAAAAATTATTTTATATTATAATTTGAATAAAACAAAAATGTCTTATGAATTTCCCTCGTTTTAAGAAATAAAAAAAGAACAGTCAAGAAAGAAAAAGTAACAAAAAAAACCCTCTAAGATACCTATAAGGCTAACGAGAACAACGCCTACTTACTTAACTAACTCTACTCAATTCTCAGTGCTATATTAACCGTTCCTATGGCAAAAATGCCAATACCGCCTCCACCAACACAAAGCCTCACACAATTGTCAAGAGCTACCACTAATTCTATTGTCAACAGATTATAATTATTATTATTAAAAAAGTTAACGATATCTAACTTCATTTTTAAATAAAAATTGCGACGAATAAAAACGATATTGAGTCAAGTGAAGAAGAAGAAACGTTATCAACTTGTAGTAGTGAGGAAGAATTTGAATTAAAAAAAGAAGACAAAAAGGAAGAGGTACAACAAAGTACTTCACATAAAGGTGAAGAAAACAAATCAGAGGAGAAAAGGGAGGAAGAAAAGGAAGAAGACAAGATTTACAGTCAATTAAGTGAAGAAGAGGAAAAGGAGGAAAAAGTAGAGGAAGAAACTAATTTTGAAGAAAACACGGAAGAGATTGTAAATCTTTTTGAAGATAAGGAAGAGAATATTACTAGTAATTCTTCCGATCAGTTGAGAGAAGAAAGTAAGGAAGAAAATAAGAAAGAAGAGAAAGAAGAGCATTCCAATTCGACTGAAGTTGGGAGCCAACTGAATAAAGAAAAGGAAGAAGGCAAATTAATTGAAGAGAAGAATAACAAGGAAGAAGCCTCCAAAGAGCAACAAGAAGAGCAAACCTTCCAAGAAGCCCCTCCTAAGGAAGAGCAACAAGAAGACTCACAAAAAGAAGAAAAACTCTTCCAAGAAGCCCCTCTCAAAGAATTGAAAGAGGAAGAAACCTCTTCCCAGGAATCCACAAAAAACAACAAAACAAATTTTTCATTCCCCTCAACTTCACCCTCTCCCCCTTCAACATCCTCATCTCCATCCTCAACAAGAAAAGCATTATCCCAAAAAACATATCATAAATATTCTTCAGCCTCAACTTTAGGACAAGAAGAGTTTTATTCCTCGGAATTATATTTTGATTCAATAACAGAAAAGTGGAAACAACAATTATTTTTTGAAGAAGATAACGAGAAAAGTTATTATTACCCTTTAAATTTTGAATTTGAAGGAAGACAAGGAGGAGGACAATCCTTACCAAGACAACAACAAGAAGGACAAGAAGAACCCCCTCCTTATTATAACGAAACTTTTGAGGAATTTATTAATAATACAGCAGAATATCCATTACAACAACATCAACACTCTTCTAATAGACACTTTGAAATACCTTTTGGAATTTTTGATTTTGATAGTGAAGAAGAAGAACAAGACTTTAATTGTATTAATACTGCAGAAAGAGGGTAAATATTAATTTTCTTAGTTTTAAGGAAATTTTTTTAACATATCGAGAAGCCAACCCAAAGTTATAGAAGAATTAATAGAATACAATATTCTTAGAAAAAAATTTAAACAACTACAGACATTCCCAAAAAATCTAAATATTTTAAGAAAATTGTCTAGATACATATTAATAACGAGAAAGATCGTGGGAAACCAAAAGCGAGAAAAAGTCGCTGAAAAATTTAATTAACAAAAAAGTAGTTCAAAATTAACAAAAAATTTCTCTTCTCAGTCAAGAGAAAAATTAAAAGCATTAATAGAAAATTTCCAATTTTTTTCAAGACAAACAATGGGAAACAATTTTCCTCCACAAACATTAGAAACAATTGCAAGTGTTCAACAACAACAACGTCAACTTAACAATAATAGAGAAAATAATTCCAACACAAATAATTTTGAACATCGAGGAGTAAAAGGAATTTTAGGTGTAACAGCACGTTTAACTGGACTAGTTAGTTTGGCTATACAAACAATTGTTTTAATTTTGGGGTGTTTATTAATTGGAATATTGTTTGTACATTGTGGAGGAACCAAATATTTTAATCATGAAGAAAAAAATTTTGATCAAAATCAGAGGGAAGAAAGAGGGGGACATATTGTTGGAGATGAACCCTTTTTATTTATAAAATCAGTAAATGATACAGATGAAACAAATTTAAATGAAACAACTTTAGCAGAAGCATTAATATCAGAAGAAAATCAGAATTTAAACAAAACATTGGAAGAAACAAATCAGAATTTAAACAAAACATTGGAAGAAATAACAGAAAAACAAGTTGGAAATAAAGTTGGAAATGTTTGGTTAAATAATTTAACAAAACCAGAACAAATGTTTGACGAAAACAATGTTTTATTAAATGAAACAAACATTGAAACAAACATGAATGAAACTGTAGCAGACACAAAGGAGATATTAAATGATGATATAAACAATAAAGAAAATCAAGTAAAAATTAATTTAAAAAATTCTAAAAAATAAAAAAAAATTTTTCTTGAAAAGCTAGGCATTAGAAAACATGAAAAAATAAAAATAAAAAAAGATTCAATACAGAATAATACAAAAATATACAAAAAATAGCCTATTTTCGTCAAAAATAGGCTAAAAACGCCAAAAAATAATTTTAAAAAATATCAAAAAATTATTTTTCCCCAAAAATTTTCAGACATTCAATCTTGCCGAACTAGAAACGATAGGGAATGAAATAATTAATCCAAACAAAACACAAGAAGATGACTATACAGACTCTGAAACAGAAGCAACCACAAACCTATTAAATTCTATATCAACACAACAACCAGAAGAACAATCAGAAAATTTATCAAAAAATCAAACAAATAACTTTCAACACGAAGAAAATATAAACAAAAAACAAACATTTTTTGAACAAATAAAACCAATAAAAATACATTTTGGTAAACGAATTGAATTAGATTTGCTTACAATGGTTAGGGCATTGTGTGGAATATATGGAATTGGATGTATTTTATGGTTAATTTCTTTAATTGGATTAACAATTTCGTTAAAATTGGAAATTGCCGATTTAGTTTATTTAAATACTTTTATGTTAGCTAATATTACACTACTTTTGTTAATTAATATTGTTGCTGTTGGAGTTATTATTGTTTTACAGGTAAATTCTGAAATATTTCTAAAGAATTCTGATTTGTGAAAAATACAAAAAAAGAAAAATACAAATTCTGATATTAAAAATAAAAATCAGAATTATGAAAAACACAAAAAATTCTGAAACACGAAAGAAATTCTGATTTAAAATAAATTCTGATAAAAACACAAAAACAAATAAAAATCAGAATTAGAAAGAAAACACAAAAAATTCTGAACTCAAAATACAAAAACGAATTCTGATATTTAAAACACAAATCAGAAAATTCTGAACAAAAGCACAGGAAATTCCGAATAAAAACACAAAAACAAATAAAAATCAGAATTAAAATAAACAAGAAAACCTATTTAATTTAAAAATTTTCAGACTGAATATCACTGGAAAATGTTAATTACAATTGGTGTTATTGAAGGAGGATTAATTTTGTGTTTTATTTTTAATGTTTTAGCAATTGTATTTATTGTGATTTGGTATCGTTATATTGATTATATGAATGGAGATGATAAATCGGTAAATTTTTAAAAATAAAATACAAAAAATCAGAAAGCAAAAATAAACAAAAATACAATTAATTAAAACCAGAAAATACAAAAAAATACAAAAATATAAAAACCAGAATTAAGAAGGAAAAATACAAAAAATACAAAAATCAGAATTGAGAAATACAAAAAACACATGAAAATACAAAAATCAGAATATAACGAAATAAAATAGGAAAACCAGAATTGAAAATACAAAATCAGAATTGAGAAATACAAAAAACACATGAAAATACAAAAATCAGAATAATAACGAAATAAAATACAAAAATCAGAATTAAGAAACACAAAAAAATACAAAAATCAGAATTAAAAAAAAATCAGAATTTAAATAAAAATATTTCTTAAAGTGTCTCTGTTTGTCTGCAATTACTGGGTGTATTAAAGGACGTAATAATAATCAAAGACAACAATCACAACAACAACAAAGACAACAACGTCAACACCCTCCCCAAGCTAATTATACAATTCCAGAAGCTACAAGACATCCCCAATTACCCTATATTGATGATTCCCCTCCAATACAACAATTTAGTAATTTTTGAAGGGAAAATAAAGAAGAAAAAATGATGATTTTTAAAAAAAAATATGAAAAAAATGACAGAAAATAAAAAATATAAATACCCCAAAATATTAAAAAAAAATACAAAAAAAAATCAAAAAAATCGAAAAAAAATATTAGTCACTCAAAAATATTTTTTAAAAAAATTTCTTTAAAAATTCACTAAAATTTAGTGACCTAAAATCAGTTTCTTAATGTATCCCTTGTGATCATTTATTTAATTAATATACCAGTTAAATTCTGTGTTCATTCCCTATTTTCCAAAATTTTTTTTCCTTTTCCCTATTACTATTTATATACATATGATTTTGTTATTTAATTAAATATTCATGTAATTATTTTACATTTTTGAATAAAATTTAAAAAATTTAAATACCTGTAAGATATAAGCCAATTAATTGAAGGAAAATGTTTTCGTTGAGCCAATTTTTTGTCTAAACCCCAAAATACTTGAACAATTCCTAATGTAGCTGTAGTTACTGGATCAGCAAAATCACCTCCTGGAGGTGAAACACTGAAAAAACATTTGAAAATTATTTTTTAATTTTTAGAAATTGCTCATAGAATTCTTACAAAAAATTTTTTTTGTGAAACAAATTAGCTAATTTTGAAGCAAATTCCCCCCTTTTTAAATCAAAAAAATTTTTCCGATTAAAAAATAATAAACTCACGCCCCAACAATAGTAACAGATCCATCTCTATCAGGCGATCCACGACATTTAACTTTTCCAGCCCTTTCATAAAAACTAGCCAATCTAGCAGCTAAATAGGCAGGATAACCAGAATCTGCAGGCATTTCTCCCAAACGACCAGAAATTTCTCTTAAAGCTTCTGCCCAACGGGAAGTTGAATCTGCCATCATTGCAACATTTAAACCCATATCACGAAAATATTCAGCCAACGTAATTCCTAATTAAAAACAAGTTTGTTTTAAACAAAAACATTTCCCGGAAAAACATTTAAACTCTCTCTTGTTGTTACTTTACTAATATTCCGCCCCCACCCCATATTTGAGTTTCCAAATTAATTTTCCCTTTTTTACTAACAATCATTTTTCCTTTCAAACATTACAGGTAAAAGGCAATTATTAGAAAGGAAAAATAGAAAGCAACCGCGAGTTGGGCATTCCGAGGTCTCATTTTCTAAATTAATATGAAAAATGGAAGGGACCCAGCCGCTCCAAGAGTCGAAAACTTTGAACCCATTGAACTTTTCGAAATGGTGGGGGTCAGGGCCAAAAAAGCAGAAAATTATAATAGGTTTCCGACTCTGCTTTACACGAAGGTGTAAAAAATTTTTTCAAAAATTTCACATACAGTTCGGGATGTTTCAATGTGAAACTCAAATAGGGGTGAGGGGGGGGGGAGGCAGCGGGATTTTTATAAAGTATCCGGATATCCTCTTATTTAAACATTTTAAACAAACGAAAACATTTTTTGGAAAACAAGTTGAATTATAATGTTTGCCGGAAAGTTTAACAAAAACTTCTACCTGTATAAATACTAGCTTCTCTAGCCGCTACAGGCATATTGGAAGTATTAGCTACTAAAGCTGTTCTTTCCATAATTGATGTTGTTTTTCCATCTACTTCCATTGTTAATTCTGGGAAATCACGTAATACTTCAGACATTTCATTTCCACGTTCTCCACAGCCAACATAAATAATTGCGTCAGAATTGCTGTATTTTGATAATGACTGGGAAATTACTGTTTTTCCACAACCGAAAGCTCCTTTAAAAATTTAATGTGTTTTTATTAAATTTACAAGGAGAGGTTGCGAGGTGTCCGAGCTAAAAACGGTCGAGTGGGAAAAATTATGCCAAATTTTGGGACTTTGGAGGGTCATATCTTGGCCAAATCAAAAAACGGGCAAAAACGGCAAAAAATCCTTGCTAGAAAGGGCACATTCTCTATCGAATGAGCCCGGTCTCGACCGTTTCTAGCTCGGACACTTCGCAACCTTCCCTTGTTAGAGACCAGCCCAAAACGGCGCGCCGCCATAACGGCGCAAAGCCACGACTTGCTGGAAAATTTAAGGCCCTAATCAATTTTAATAGCAATTTCTTTAGCTCAATGAGGGGAATCGTTTAATACTAAAATTTGGTAAGATTCGGAAATTTTAAAGCAAGTTACGGCTCTGCGCCGTTATGGCTTTGCGCCGTTTTGGGCGTCTCCCTAAATTTAATTAATAAAAACTTGCCAGGTATAGCAGTTGTTCCCCCTTGGACACAAGGGAATAGGGCATCCAAAACTCTTTGACCACACAAAAGTGGATAATTGGCAGCCAATTTTTCGGCAACTGGGCGGGGCTGTCTGACAGGCCAAACTTGAAGCATAGAATATTTTTGAACATCTCCAGAAAATTCGATTTCGATGATTTTTTCCTAAAAATTAAAAATATGGATGGGGCTCAAATGTCAATTTCTTGACATTAGAGTCACGAAAGCAAAGAAGTTTTAAAACAAGCTTAAGGAAAGGATGCGAGGTGTCCGACCTAAAAACTGTCGAGACCGGGCTCATTCGATAGAGAATGTGTCTTTCTAGCAAGGATTATATTTGGAGGGGGAAAAAGTATGCCAAATTTTGGGACTTTGGAGGGCCATATCTTGGCCAAATCAAAAAACGGGCAAAAACGGCATAAAATTCCTGCTAGAAAGTGCACATTCTCTATCGAATGAGCCCGGTCTCGACAGTTTTTAGGTCGGACGCCTCGCCTTTCCTTGAAGGAAAAAGCAACTAACCGTAACATTATAGCTCCCTTTAGGTGCCAAATACTTCAAAGTTCCACAAGCATTTGGAGGCACCATAATCGAGTGTTTAACCAGAGCACTCTCATAGACTATCCCCACAATATCACCACCAGTAACGTGATCCCCTGGACGTAGGCTTTGTTTTGGAATAAATTCCCATTGTTTTGTGCGACTGAGGGCGTTTGTATTGATTCCTTTAAGAAAAAAATTTTTTAAATTTTTTCAAGAGAAAAAAACCTTTGGGTATATAAATAGATTGGGTCATCTGAAAATTGAGGATTTAATAGAAGTCTTTGAAATTTTAAAATAAACCTGTGCAATATCGTGTAGTGGACGTTGAATTCCATCAAAAATAGAACCCATAATGCCTGGACCCAATTCTACTGAAAGTGGCTTTCCAGTACGTAAAACAGGATCTCCAATTGTTACAGCAGCTAAAAAAAAATTTTTTTTAATTTCTGTACGCAAATGTTGTCCGCAAGTTTCTGTTCAGTGCTAAAACATCCGTACCAAAATTCCTACTCGTAATTCATACTTGATACGAAGTACAAAGCCAGAAATAGGATAAGGGTATGAGGTACGAGCACGCCAAAAACCAAAATTTTCAAGAATCGGTTCTGTCCGCAATTTTTATCCGCAAAAACGATTTTAGGTCAAAAAAGGGTTTTTAGACAAATTCCAAGAAAAAAAATTTAAAAATAAACAAACATGTTTCCTCGTAGACTTGTATAGTTGCATAATCCCCTTCCAAACGAATAATTTCGCCAACAAGTTCATTATGTCCAACACGGACTAATTCGTACATGGCAGCTCCAGACATCTTCTCTGCCGTTACGACTTAACAAAAAATTTTTTAAATAAAAATTTAAAAAAAACCAGGTCCAGAAACGCCATAAACATAGCCATATTGGGCTTCTTTAACTTCACGAGTAGATGGAGGCATTCCACTTTTTGTTAAAGGTCGAAGAAATAAACGTGTTTTTGGTCTCTTAAATAATTTTAAAAATTAATTGAGATCATTTAAAAAATAATAAAATTGATAAAAAGATAAGAAAAAATCACGAAATAATTTATAAACGAGTTAAAAAGCAAAAAAATTCAATTTGACCCTGAAGGGGTTCGAACCTTCGCCCTAAAATAACGAAAAACATGATGTTCCCACTTAACCACAAAAATAACTAATAAGCTGCAAATTATTTTTAACTCGGTTTTGCAACTAGTGACTAGCAATTAAATAAAATAACAATGGAATTAATTATCGAAAAATAACAAATAAAAATAAAATTTACCCCCAAAATTTGTAAAATAATGACGAGAACAATGTTAGAGATTAAAAACCAAAGACATTAATTTTTACAGAAATTCGTTTCGAAAAATTTATTAAAATTTAATTTAATAGAAAAATACAGTATACAAGCAAGAACAAGGGTTAGTTTTTGTTTAATAACTTTTGAATGGATGAATGGTTTTTTGAAATTTTGGTATCATTTTGTAGGGAATTCATTCCTCTACAAAATAAAATAGAAAATAAATTTTTAAAATTTTTTAAAGCAAAGTTATGTCGAAAAACCTTCAAAAATGGCATTTTTCTTGAGTTTTTGGACCATAACTTCTTTCATTTCTTCTCGAATAAAATTTATATTTACACTTTTTGATAGCTAATTTAATTGTCTATTTAATAATATCAAAAATTTGATAAGCTTTTTAATTTGTCTTAAGCTAAAATTATTTGTCTTGGTCTATGTCTCTCGTAATTTTAGAACCAATTTCTTTATTAAAAAAATTTTTTTTAATTTAATCAACCTACTTTTGTGCTTCCTTCTGACGATTCTCCTTTTTTCAATTGTTTTGAATTTGTTTTTGAAGAATGACTTGTAACTTTTGCTTCTTTTGCTTCTTTTTTCACACCTTTTTCTTCTGGCATAGAAAATTAATTTAACACAAAAATTATAATTTTGTAAAAATTTACTTTAAATTACACACTTTTACAATTTATTTATAAATTATTTTCCATTTAATTTTTTTACCCACTTTATGGCATCACCCTTATATTTTTCCCGGCGTAGTGACAGAAGACCCACAGACAGAAGACCCAAGGACAGAAGAACCACAGACAAAAGACCCACAGACAAAAGACCCACAGACAAAAGACCCACAAGAAAAAATTTTTAACCAAAACTTAAGAAGAAATTTTCTGAAATTTTTGAAAAAGACTTCTATTTTTCTAGGCACTAGATTTCAAAAATTTATTCCAAAGTTAATCAATAATGTTTGATTAATGAAAAAGTAGATTGAAGAATCGGGTGATTAAATGGGATATTTAGGATTGGGATACTCCGATATCTCTCTTTAACAGAAAATCGGATATGTCAGGGATCTAAAGTGATGTAAACAGATTTAAAACTTTTAAGCTTTTTTAATTCTACTAATCCGCTTTTATCAAGCGATAATCCTCCATCTTACTCAGAAATAATTATCTAATCTCAGCTAATACCAATGACCCACGACATCCTTGCAGATTTCCGATATCCTTGACAACTTCTAATCCTTCTATATCCCTTCATGTGGAGGGATATAGAAGGATAAAAGGTGTATTAGTTAATCTTTTATCAATGGGTATTAATCTTAAATCAAGGAGTATTAAGTTTATCTTGAATACCTCTTGATACTAAATGTCCCTTTGATCTACTTTTTCTTTTCTTCGTCGCAGACAAAAATTTTGGGAATTTTGAAAGGGCAAGAAGCAACGTTTATACATTTTTAACAACCATGGTGAAAATTCTTTGAATTTTGGAAGGCCAATTAGCTATTTTTATATCATTTATTATATCTGAACCTGATCAGATTATGTTTTTTGACATGACCTGGACCTGATTAAAAATCCCGAAAATCCGGGGAATCAAGATCCACTTTCGTTAAACAAGCTCCCCTGTCATTGGGACAAGATTCCCATTGTTGGAACAACTTGACCCGTTTTTGCAACAACACCCCTCATTGTTAAAATAACATCCCCGATGTTGGAACAACTTCCCCGTTATTGGAACAACATCCTACATTGTTGGAACAACCTTCCCGATTATTGGAACGACCTTCGCTAATATCGAAACAACTTTTCCCGTTGTTGGATCACCCTTTTATTATGGAAAACTAATAAAATTAACAACATCCCTTGTGTCAAATTTTATGCACAATAAAACTGAAAAATATTTGTGGGTCTTTTGTCTGTGGGTATTCTGTCCTTGTGGGTCTTCTGTCTGTGGGTCTTTTGTCTGTGGGTCTTCTGTCCTTGGGTCTTCTGTCTGTGGGTCTTCTGCGTCGACACGATTTTTCCCTTTATTTTCCACCACGTTCACTATTCTTCCACAAAAAACAAATTTCCTTTTTTTATAATTTTTTTTTTAAATTTTTTGGTAGTTATGGAAACGCAACATTGTATTATTCTCAATAAAAAATAATTATTTTTTTATTTTTTATTAATTAAATACCTATTGAAAACCTTAGGGACGTCTTTTATTGCTAGCCAAGTTTATTTAATTTTTATTTGAAAAATTATTGTTTATAAATAAAAATTAACAAAAAAATTCCTTTTTAAATTTCCAGACATTTTTAAAATATTTAATATTTTATTTACTCACTTAATTTTATTTTTAAATGGATGCTGAAAATATTAGAGAAGAGTTGCTTCAAGTTAAAAAAGTAATTAATACTTGTTTTGATAAAATATAAAAACATTAATAATAAATTAGAACTTGTTTTTACAACAAGAAACAAGTTGTACAATAATTTAACAAATAAACTTATTTTTCGAAAATAAACTTGTTTGCAAAACATATAAAAATTAAAAATAAACATGTTTTGATAGTTAAACTTTTTTTAAATAAACTTGTTTTTACAACTTGTTTTTACAACAAGTTGAGAAACAAGTTTTACAAATATCAGTTTTAATTAAACATGTTTTGGAACTTATTGTAAAACATATTTTAAAACAAGTTTAATTTATATTATTTTACAACTTGTTTCTAAACTTGTTCTAAAAGAAGTTTTAAGTTTGTATCAGAATTAATAAAACTTGTTTTACATTAAAAAATAACCTTGTTCATATTATTCTAAATAATAATTAATTTAAATAATTTTTCCGGCACACTCCGCCATTCTACGCGAAAATAGCCAATATAGAACCCGGTTAAGAATAGCTGAGCGTGAACGAAATCGACGTGAAGAAGAACTTAAACGGCTTTTAACTCTCCCACAACCAACAAAATCTTTAAATAATAATAAATTGTCTTACTCAACATTATCTGAGAATCGGATAGAAATGATGGCCTTAAAAAGAAAAATTTTACTTTATGAGAGATTACTTAAAGAAAAAACAAGAGAGAACACGTATGTTATCTTTAAGTTCTCAGGTTTCTCAGGTTTTTAAGTCTAAACTTAAAAAAAACTTGTTTTTATGTTTTTAAGTTTGAACTTGAATATTCAAGTTTATTTTCAAGTTCGTTAAGTTTTCAAGTTTGAACTTAAAGTTTAATGTTTATTTTCAAGTTTATTTAGAAAATAAACTTGTTTTTAAGTTTGATCTTAAATTTCTAGGTTTATTTTCAAGTTTATTTAGAAAATAAACTTGTTTTTAAGTTTGATCTTAAATTTCTAGGTTTATTTTCAAGTTTATTTAGAAAATAAACTTGTTGTTAAGTTTGTAACTTTTTCCCAAGTTTGTACCAAGTTTTCAAGTTTCAACATTTTCAGAAAATTATTGGAAGACAAAAAAATTGTAGAAGCATCAGAAACACGCAAATTAACAGAAAAACTGGAAAATGAATGTCAAAGGCTACGAGTACATTTAGCACAATCTGTTCCGGAAACAGAATTTTTAAAAGAAAAGGATCAGTATTTAACAATAATAAATAGATTAATTGATGAAAATATGCATTTACGTCAAGTTGTTGGGAAGTTTGAACACAAGAGAAAAGGTTGGAATTTTTTCATTAAAAATAATTCTGATTTTGTAGATAAAATTCTGATTTTCAAGTTTATTTATTTTCATAATTCTGATTTTAGACAATAATTCTGATACTTAATAATTCTGCTTCAAGTTTTATTTCTTCATTCTGATTTTATTATTTTTTAGTTTTAGTTATCCTAATAATTCTGATTTCTGTTTTTAAGTTCTGATTCAAGTTTTATTTTGATAATTCTGATTTTATTAAAAATAAAATTCTGATTTTCAAGTTTATTTATTTTAATAATTCTGATTTTAGGTAATAATTCTGATCAAAGTTTTATTTTTAAATTAATTCTGATTTCTAAGTTTTATTTATCAGAAATTTTTCAAGTTTTATTAATCAGAATTAATCAGAATTTAATAATTCTGCTTCAAGCTTTATTTTTAATTAATTTTTAGAATCAGAAAAGTTGTTAACGGAATTAGGCGGTGGGGAAGCGTTGGTTAGACAATTTAGAACTATGAGTATAAACACTCGGTAAATTAATAAAAATAAATGCTAAAATATTTCTAAATTAATTAAAAATTATTAAATTTATTTTTAAAAATATTTTTGAAATTTTTTCAGATTTTTTTGAATAAAAAAATTTTTTTAAATTATTAAAATTAATTTTAATAAAATTAAAAAAAAATTCTTTAATCTAAAAATAATTTTAGAAAACAGGCAAACTTCTATAAAAAAGCTTTAAATAATTTAATGACAAAAGGCAAGCAATCGCTACAGAGCAGTCGCCGTCGCCCTACTTTAGCCTCCACAACTTCTTCAGTTTCTGGAAAATTAAAAAATCAAAATTTAAATAAATCCCAATCTTCTCTAAATAATTTTAATTTAAGGTAAATTTAAAAAAATTTTGAAAAATATTTTTTAAAATTTTAATAGAAAGGAAATTCCATCCGAACTTAATTTAAAAAATTCCAAACGTCGTGCTTCTTCGTTAGAAAATTCTAAAGCTTCCAAGTCTGTCAATAATGAACCTACAAACTTGAAAAATGTAGAAAATGAAAGTTTGGGGATTTTGTTGGACAGTGAAGGTAACTAAAAAATTAAATAAAATTTTAAAGAAAATTAAAAAAAATTTTTTTAAGGTCCCCCTTCCATCAACAATACCAATTTTAATGAAAAATCCCCTTCAAATCAGCCAACTCCCCAATCCAATCGTTCATTAATTACTTGTGTTAGACGCACACAACGATCAAATTCTGAAAACTCAAAAATAGGATTTCCCAAGAAGGAAGAGTTTGAAGAACAAAATGTGGAGGAAGAAGAAGAAAATGAAAAAAAATCTGATGAGGATTTGGATTTTAAGCATTTTGAAGATTCTGAAGAGGAAGGGGAAGTTGAAGAAGATGAGAAGGAAGGGAAAGAAGATGAGGAGGATGAGGAAGAAGAAGAGGATCGGGATGAAGAGAGTATTCATCAAGTATCTGAAGAGTCGGATGAAAAGGAGATTGAAGACATGGTTGGGGACGGGTATAAATTAAACAAAAAATGGGAGGGGAAGAAATTGAAAGAGAAGGGGCATTTTATTGAAAGGGATTTGTGAAAAATTAATTTTTGAAGATTTTTAATTAAAAATTAATTTTTAAAGGAAAACGAAGAGACCCATTTAAATGCCCTCTACAGACTTATATCCTCACACATATTACGCCAACAAATGTGTAAAGTGAGAGAAGAACGTGATCACTACAGTAAACAAATGGTCGTTGGAATATTACAACAAGAACAACAAAATTATTATTGGTGATATTCAAAAGTTTTTGATTTTACAAATTGTAGTTTATTTAATGTTTTAGAATCCAAGTTTATTTTTAAAAAAGTTTTACAATTTGTAAAATAAATAAATAAACTTTCTTTATTTATTACAAATTGTAAAACTTTTTTTAAATAAACTTGGATTTTAAAGTTTTACAATTTGTAATTTAAATATAAAAAGTTTATTTAAACAAAAAAGTTTTATTTACAAATTGTAAAGTTTATTTAAGGTTTTACAATCCAACTTTATTTTTAAAAAAAAGTTTTACAATCCAAGTTTATTTTAAAAAAAGTTTTACAATTTGTAAAATAAATAAATAAACTTTCTTTATTTATTACAAATTGTAAAACTTTATTTATTTAAATAAACTTGGATTTTAAAGTTTTACAATTTGTTTAAATATAAAAAGTTTATTTAAAAAAAGTTTTATTTACAAATTGTAAAGTTTATTTAAGGTTTTACAATCCAAGTTTATTTAAATAAAAAAGTTTTACAATTTGTAGTTTAATTTAATTTAAGTTTTACAAACCAAGTTTATTTAAATAAATTTGAGCAAATAAGTTTTACAATTTGTAATTAAACAAGTTTTTACACTTCCTTATTTTTTACAAATTGTAGTTTATATTAAACAAAGAATTTTACAATTTGTACTTTAATAAAAAGATTTTTAAAATTTTTATTTAATTATTCTATAATAAATTCCCCATTAACTATAATAAATGTTAAAAATACTAAAACTATTAAATGTCCATCACTGATAATTTTATTTTAATTTTACTGATAAATTGCAAAAACTATTATGATTATTTTTGTTACTAACCACCACACATTTACCTGTTGAACCACACATTTAAACAAAAATAAATTTGGTCATTCTATAATTAAATTATTAAAAATATTTTAAAAACAATGAAATTAATTTTAACAAAATTTACAACAATTTTATTTTCATTATTATTTATTAATGAATCCTCCTCTAGTGCAATACGTAATTTGCGTTCTCACTATGATGCTGGAACCGATACAATATTAGTTGATTGGGAGTGGGATGAGCTAAGTGGAGGATTGGTCAGGCAACAACTTGAAGGTGTAGAGAGGGAATTCTGATTTTATTCTGAATTTTATTCTGATTTTAAATTCTGATTCTATTCTGATTTTATTTCAATATTCTGATTCATAATTCTGATTTTCTGTTAATTCTGGTTTTTATTTCTGATTAATTCTGATACAAATTCTGATATTTCCTAACCTTCTGATTTTTTAAAATTTAAATTCTGATTTTAATTCTGATAATTTCTACACCAGACTACGAAATATTTGTACGCTACAAAGTTTCAAGACAGGGCCAAAATGAAGATGAATGGAGACGAGTTGAAGCAGAAGAGGATGGACTTGGTGCTCGCATTCCTCTTGGACGATTATCGTTGAGTGATGGGGATGAGGTGATGACTCAGGTATTTGTGTAATTTTCTGATTTCTAAAAATTCTGATTTTTATTCTGATTTTTTTTCTGGGGTTTTTTCTGATTTTATTTTAATTCTGATTTTTTCTGATTTTTTAACCTAAATTTCTGATTTTTGAATTTATTCTGATTTTAAAAAATATTTAAAATTATGCAAGGCTGATTCCCTTTCCAGCTTTTTATTGCGGTTCAGGTACTAGCAGAGCCACTAACTCCTCCTGAAACTGGAAGCAGCGCTTCGTTGAAGCAGCACAGTGAACCTCTTGTTGTTTGGATTGCTAGGCGTCAGAGTAATTCTGATGGGAATTCTGACGGATATTCTGATTTTGATGGGAATTCTGATGGGAATTCTGACGGATATTCTGATTTTGATGGGAATTCTGATGGGAATTCTGGTGGAAATTCTTATTTTTCCTCAAATTCTGAAAAAAATTCTGAGAAAAATTCTGATAAAAATTCTGATCAAAATTCTGATTTTTCTTCAAATTCCAATTTTGAACTTCCCAAAAATCCTCCACCTACAGCAGAAGAAATTCTCCCTCCCTACAATTTTACTGCAAATATTCTTGGCCCCACACAAGTAAAATTGGAGTGGAAAACACCTCCAAGATCTTCAGATACAACAGAGCCTTATTACTTTTATATTATTAATGTTAGACAAATAAGTGCAAATGATCGTAGTGGAAGGAAGTTTGCTCCACTGCAAGTAAACTTCAGTTTATTTGACATAACTCAAGAAATATTTGGCCGATTGAAATAAACTTGGTATTATTGGATAGAGAATTAAATTTGCTACAAAATAAAATTTATTGAAAAATATTCTTTCAAAATCCTTTGAGATAATCATTAAAATCTTCAAATTCTATCAAAAAATGTTAGTTTTTTGACCATAACTTTTTACCAGAATAATCAAAAATTCTGATTTTTTCAAATTTTGTAGAGAATTTAATTCTCTATCGAATGATAACAAATCCATTCCAAACGGTCAATTGCTTCTTGAGTTATGAGCCGAGATGTCACTCAACATCGACACCCCCAAAAAACCAAAAAATACATATTCTTTAAAAATTAATTTTCTAGATTCGTGTGGACAAAACAAATTTCCTATTAGGCCATTTAATACCAGGAGAGAGGTATGAAATTACTCTTAGGAGTGCAACAAGTTCTGATCGTATTTCCTCTGCCGCAGCAATTGTTGAAATTGCCTTACCGAAGGGTACCAAATTAAAAAAAATGAACAAATTCTACTCAAAAATTAATTTTTAAAGAGGATGAGGGTGCTTTAATGGACGTTGGGAATTTATTGGTAACTTCCAGATTTATGCATGATGGTCGAGGAGTTGTTAATCTTACATGGGAAGTGCCTCCACAATTAATAGGGAAGATAAAATGTAAGGGGAGGGATATTTCTTTTTAAAATCACAAAAAATATAGAAGCTTTTAAATAAAACTTGTTTTAAATAAACTTAAGTTTAAGCTTAAGTTTTATTTAATAAACTTAAGTGAACATATTAGAAAAACAAGCAAACAAGTTTATTTAATTTATTAAATCTTACAGCTTTTTAAACTCACAAAGTATCTGATTGTTTAAAAAGCTACTATTTATATTTTTATTTACTAAAAAGTAAAAAAATTTTCTTAGCTTATGAGATGCGTTATATAGAAGCTAGTAATGCCCAAAGCGGAATAGAACGGTGGGAACACCTCCATTTTCCCGGAGAAGCACCTCAAGCTCAACTTTATAGCATGAAACCGTTGGTTATTTGAATAAAAAAAATTTAAAAAAATTATTTAGAGACACAGAATATTTAATAAGAATTCGGACTTTATTAATTTCTGGTTTGCAAGTGGAAAGCGGCGAGTTCCGCATTCATACACCACGCATAAAAGAGCCTACCCCTTTGGCAAGGCTTGATGTTTTGTATTCAAGTGAGCAACCTACTGTGCGTTTACAATGGACGTTAGCCCCGTATGTATTAAATAAAATATTTAATTGCAAATTGTAAAATGGAAACTTGGAAATTGTAAAATTGTAAAAACTTGGAAAATAAAGAAAAATAAACCTAGAGTAGATAGAATTGTAATTTTAAATAAAAATTGTAATTTTAAATATAAATGTAAAACTTGAATTATAAAAAAGGGAAAATAAACTTGAAATAAAATTGTAAAAAAAATAAACTTGAATTGTAAAAAAGAGATAAACTTGGGGAAAAATTGTAAAATAAATAAAAAAATATTAAAAGGAAAATAAGCTTGCAACAAATATTAATTAATAATTATATATTTATTTACAAAATAGACATATTCACTCATCAGAAATTAACGGATACGATTTGAGAATAACCGACCGTTATGATTTACCGGAAAGTGAGGTAGAATCAAACTGCTATAAATTAAAATTAATTAAAATTTCCTAGTGGCGCTATCACCGAGTTAGTGGCTATTCACCACAATTTGCTTTGGATAACCTTCGACCTTACACAACCTATTTTGTTCGTGTAGATATTCGTAAAAATAATGGGGATGTTTTAAAAGGAAATACAATTTATCGGTTTACAACTTTGGGTAGGTTTTAAATGAGATTGTAAAAAATAAACTTGGAATTAAGTAGGAGAATAAATAAACTTGAATTTGTAAAAAATAAATAAACTTGAATTTTAAAAAATAAACTTAAATTACAACTGTGAAATAAAATAAACTTGGATTATAAAAATAAACTTGAAATTGTAAAATAAATAAACTTGGATTTAATTAAAAATAAACAAATACAATTGTAAAGGAAAATAAACTTGAATTGTAAAAATTAAAAAATAATAAACTTGAAAGTGTAATTGTAAAATAAATAAACTTGAATTTAATTAAAAATAAAATAAACTTAATATTACAATTGTAAATATATAAACTTTTAAATTTTCAGCAAATTTACCAGTCATTCCAAACGAAAACTTTGTAGACAAAGGCAGTGAAGTACAGCCTTTAGCATTTGAACAAATTGACAGTGGACGAGTTAAAATAATTTGGGAGTTTCCCAGCACCGTTGTAAATGCTGCTAAAGGCTATTTTAAGCTTTTTTAATTTTTTAAAAATTATTTTTAGGTGTTACTATTTATTTTAGGTATTTTTAAATTTTATTTTTTAATTTCAATTAACTAGTGATAATCCTAACGAGCCTATGGAAAGGTGGCAACGAGTTTTAGTTGAAAATATCGAGTCTGTGAGTTAAAAATAATCTTAAAAATTTATTTAATAATCAAAAACAGCGTTCTACAATACTGGCAGGCCTTCAAGAAAATATTTTGTATAATATCCAAATAGTCCCGAACAGTAGAGAAGATGGGAGACCAATGTGGGAACATTCCAAAAGAATGCAAATCAGGTCGACTTCAACTTTGAAAAATAAACTTGAAAGAGAAAGGAATGAAAATAGTGAGGAAAAAGAAGAGGAGGATGATATTTAATAAATTGTAATAAAATAAACTTTAAAAATACAATTGTAAAAATAAATAAACTTGGATTATATTTGTAAAAAGAAAATAAACTTGAAAAATAAATTAAAAAATAAACTTGAAAATAAAGCGAAAAATAAACTTGAATTTGTAAAAGATAAATAAACTTGGAATACAATTGTAAAATAATATAAACTTGGAATTTAAATTAAAGCAAACTTGAAAATTGTAAAAAAAATAAATAAACTTGAATTGTAAAAATAAAATAAACTTGAAAATAAAGCGAAAAATAAACTTGAATTTGTAAAAGATAAATAAACTTGGAATACAATTGTAAAATAATATAAACTTGGAATTTAAATTAAAGCAAACTTGAAAATTGTAAAAAAAAATAAATAAACTTGAATTGTAAAAATAAAATAAACTTGAAAATAAAGCGAAAAATAAACTTGAATTTGTAAAAGATAAATAAACTTGGAATACAATTGTAAAATAAAATAAACTTGAAATATGATATATTAAAAATAAATACAACCCCTTATGCCTTTGTTAAAATGAAAACAATGAAATAAACATTGTTTTTAAGAAGATGAATAATAAATGGAAAGTTAATTGTAATATTTGTTTATAAAATAGAAAATGACTAACAAAAATATAATTCATTATTATTTTTTGTTTTTTAACTATTTCCCAAACATTTTAAATATTCCCTCGTTTCAATTGTAATTTTAAAAATATTCCCAAATTTAATTGTAAACAGCAATGTGTTTATCAATTTAATTTATCAATAATATAATTGTTTATGCTAAACATTTATTATTGACCTCAAAATTAATTAAAATCAGCAAGAACAATTTTACTGATATGGCATTTTAAGTGCTTATATGTAGCGAATAAAAGAGGAGTTTCCCCGTGAAGCATATGACAAGAAAAAAATAATAAAATGATAAAATAAAATAAATTTTAGTAAATATTTATGATCAAAAACTAAAAAGAAAAAATTAAATTTTAAATTAAAATTAAATTTTTAAAATTAAATGGGATTAATTGAATTACCCGCAGAAATAATTGTTGAGATTTACCAAAATTTAAATGATTGGGAAGATGTTTTAGCAAACCAACATGTTTGTAAATTTATTAAAAATGTTTTATGTGAAAATGGTTTGTTGTAATTCAAGTTTAATTTTTAAAGTTGTAAACTTGTTTGTTTTTAGCTTCAAAACTTGCTCGTCCACCTATTAAAATGTTTATTGAAAATAAAACAGGCGGAATAAGTTTTAATAATTCAAGTTGTAATTCAAGTTTTAATATTGATGGTTTAAGTATTTCTTTACAAAAATACAACAATTATTCCAACTTTTTACAAATTGTAAAACAAGTTTTAATTTAATTTACAAATTGTAAAACAAGTTTTAATATATAATTTTACAAATTGTAAAACAAGTTTTAATTTAATTTTACAAATTGTAAAACAAGTTTATTTTAATTTACAAATTGTAATCTAAGTTTTCTCTTAAGTAAAACTTGCTTGAAATAAATAAACTTAGATTTGTAAAATAACCAACTTTAAATTCCCAACTTTTTTTACAATTTGTAAAACAAGTTTTACAAATTCAAGTTTATTTTAAGTTTATTTTACAATTTTCAGAATAACTTTACAAATTGTAATTATTCTCCTTTTGATCGTTTACAAATATCGTCTCTAAACATTAATGGTCCTCTAACAGAGAATCAACTTTATTTAATTGCTGATCATTTAAAAATTGGAAAACAACAGAAAATTAAATCTATATGCTTGGAAAATGTAAATATTTAATTAAAAATATTTTTCTAATTTTTTCAGATTTATTTTGAAACTTCCCCAGCCACAAATTATTTATTTTCTCAATTATTCCAACAACAAAAATTTCAAAAAATTAAAATAAAAAATTGTTTTTATTCAAATAAAATATTAAATAAATTTTCTGACGATTTTAGTCAATTAAAAATTAATTTGGACGAATTTAATTATAAAAATAATAAATTTATTGAATTTTCTGTTTTTTCACTACAAAAGTTTGCTGTGGATTTGCGTTACAAAATGAAACGAAATTTACAACCTTTTGTTTGGGAAGGCGTATTACCTTTGAATTTACAACTTTACAATACTTTTGTGGAAACTTTGTGTCTCTTTATTGAGGTTTAAAAAAATTTTTTTTAATTTTTAAAAATGTCAAAATGTCGAAAATTTCGAAATGTCAAAAAATTTCAGAAAATTATTTTTTCAACAGAATTGGCTCTATAACAATGAAACCACGCCTAATTTCCATATTAAAATTAAAAATTGCTCGGAACAATTTGCCCTTGATTTTAACAATTGTTGCGCACAGAGGCGACTTTTATACGCTTCCGATTTCAGATTTTACTCAAAAACTCAACATTTAGCTTATATTCAAGGAAAATTTAATTTTGTTTGTTTCGATGTTTTTACGCTTGTTTTTAATGTTTTTTTTAGGAAAAACATGTTTTTGAACTTTTTCCGGAAAGAAGTTTACAACAACTTTATCAGATTACAGTTTGCCGAACATTTCCGTCTGCAATATCTTTTGCTCGTTTTTATCGCGATGTTTTTTGATAAATAAAAACTTTAAATTATTAAACTTGTTTTGTTTAAACTTGAACACATTAAAACTTGGGAAAACAAGTTTATTTTAAATAAAACTTGTTTTAAATAAACTTAAGTCTATAAACTTGAAACTTAAGTTCATAAACTTAAAACTTGTTTTAATTAAGTTTATTTATTAAAACTTAAGTGAACATCTTAAAAACTTAGCAAACAAGTTTATTTAATTTATTAAAACTTACAGCTTTTTGAACCCACAAATTGCCTGATTGTTTAAAAAGCTACTATTTATATTTTTATTTAAAACAAATTTAAAAAATAATAAATTGTAAAATGCAATAAATGAGAGAGTTTAAAACAAATATAAACGGGTGTAAATAATTTTATTATTTTATTCTAATAAATTAATTTTTTAATTTCACTGCTTGCGAATTTCCCCTTCAACCTGCTTTAGAGAACCACCGTGTTTTTCTTTAGCTAATTGATCAATAAATTTCTGAAAAAGTAAAAATAATTTTTAAATTAATTAAAAAAATTTTTTTACCTGAACAACTTGTCCATGTGACCATGCTGTTGGGTGGAATCGAAAGCGCGGGCGTCTTTAAAAATTAATTTTAAAATATTTCTAATGAAAAATTCCCGTTTCCTTACCCTTCAGCGTCGATTAAGAATTTCTGAAATAATTAAATTAAATTTTAATTTATTGAGAAAATAAGCCGAGTTGTTTACCTCAAAATTCCAAGTAACATCATTAACCTGAAAATAATTTTTTAAAATATTTTTAAAATTAAAAAAAGCAGCACCTTGATTGGGTTATACATAAGTTCTTCACGTTTTCCAATTTGTGTGACTGTTTGAGGACACGAATCCTTCAGAATTTAAATTAATTTTTATGAATATTGCAAGGATTAAAGGGAATCTAGCTGGCTAGTGTTCTATTAAAGAGGTGTCTATTCAAAGAGAGAAGGTGAAGCACCCATGTATCGTAGCACCTAATAGTGATGTTCGAGACTCTCGGTCTCGACTCTCTATCTCGGTCCGAGTCTCGGTCTCGGGATCGATTCTCAGTCTCGACTTCGGCTTTTTTTAACTCTCGAACATCACTAGCGCTTATCATAAAAGCTCCTAGCAATAACTTCAAAAAAGATCACTGGATTGATGCCTTCCACGTGTTTAAGCTTAACCCCTCCCTCTTCCTAAACTAAAATTTATTTGTTTTTTACTTTAAGAAATTCATATAGAGGGTGTTGATTAGCTCCATTAACTTCCAATTTTCCATAAATGTGTAAATTTTTGTGAGGTTTCCAACCATTTCCTGGACGGACGTATTTAATACCTTTAAATTTAAAATAATTTTTAAAGAATTTTATTTTCCACCATTCATTATTTCATGATTTTCAGCAGGTTCTTGGAGGTAGAATTGATTGCAAGGAAATGCCAAAATTGTAAATTGTCCTCCATTAGCCAAATTTTTTTCGATTAAAGGGTTGAAGTCGATATATTGCTGGGTATAGGCTGGGAAATTGAGAAAAAAAATTTTTTTTAATTTTTTAGGAAAGAAAAAAAAATTCAAAAAATTATCGCGGGCCGCGCTGATTCCCTGTGGTAACATTTTTTCGTAGTCTAAGAAACTACCGCTAAGCTATCTAGCCCGCACAACGGATACTTATAAATTCATCTATAAACTAACTATATTTCTCTCTTTGTAGTAACTTAAAGTAATAGGGTAGCGCTCTTCCTTATTTTAAAAAGTAAAAAATTAAGGGTGAAACAAAGCAAAACAATTATAACAAAGCAAAACAATACGAAAGGCTGCTTTCTTCAGAAAAAATTTTTCTGAGTGCCCAACAGTGCTGGGTATTTGCCATTTGTTGGCTACGGGCTCCGGGCTTTCAAAATCTTGGCTCCGGCTCCGGAGCTAGCTCCTAGAGCCATACCCAGCCCTGGTGCCCGTTAGTAAAAAAATAATTATTTCTCCAATAAAATTTATACCACAAAATGTAGCGACGTTAACAACAAGAAGAGGTTGGCCTTTGTAGGCACTTAAATCCTTAAATTCTCCTTCCAATGTCTCTACCTAAAAATTAATTTAAAAATAATTTTTAAAAATATTTTTATGCCTCAAAATCATAAATTGATAAATTTTGATAGTCAGGAATACATTTACTCCAACGCGTAGTTTCATCAATTAATTTAGGCCCAGGTTGATATTTTTCCTTTTTTGTAGGTGAAATTTGCTTATTTGCACTTATAGCACAACAAGTTGTAATTATAGCAATTAATGTTAAATATGTGAGCATTTTTGTTGGTGAAAAAGTTTTACAAATTCTGAAAAAATAAAATAATTGTAAAACAAGTTTATTTATTACAAAACAAGTTTATTAATTGTAAAACAAGTTTATTTACTGAAAAACAAGTTTATAATTGTAAAATAAGTTTATTTATAGGAAAACAGGCTTATTTATTGTAAAATTGTAAAACAAGTTTATTTATTAGATTAATAGGATTATTATTGTAAAAGTGTAAAAATAAGTTTATTTATTGCAAAATAAGTTTACAATTGTAAATAAAGTTAATTTGATATATTAAATAAGCTTATTTATTATCTGATAGGTTTATTATTGTTAAATTGTAAAAAATATTATATAATTGTAAAAAAGGTTGTAAAAACGCTTTAGAACATTTACAACTTTTCCAAATTTTATTCTTAAGGTTTATTTTTAATAAAACTTTTATTCAACTAAAAATAAAAGTTTGGTATAAAATAACAAATTTTTATACAAAAATAGTCTTGCGTCAACACAGAGAACACAAAAATTTTGTTTTTATTTTTTGATTAAAATTTCTTTTCGAGAAATTTTTACACATTAAAAGAATGAATTAAAAATAAAAGTAAAAAATAGTAAACAATAAAAAATATTTGGAGACTGAAAATAAAAACAAGAAAAAATTTTATTTTAAAATTTAAAGATTAAAGTTTAGAAAATAGTAGGTATTTTAAGAAAAATAGCAAGTGATATTTTTACTTGGAAACTTTAAAATATTTTTTATTATGGAGAACATAGTAAATTACAATTGTAATAAATTTTATAATAAAACTTAAAACTTGAAACAAGTCAAAATGAAATAAATAAACTTATTTTACAATTTTAACTAAAATAAACTTGTTTTTACAATCCCAACTTAAATAAACCTTTTTTTACAATTCTGAATAAAATAAACTTTTTTACAACTCAAACTTAAATAAACTTTTTTATTTACTAAAAATACAAAAGAAAAACACTTGTTAGTTAAAAACAAAATTGTAAAAAGAAAAATAAACTTTCACGCATTTTCTATTCCTCTTTTAACTATACTACTAAAAATAAACTTATTGCGCATCCTAAACAAATAAATACAAAAATGTATTTATTTGTATTTTTTGTATTAAAAAAATTTTTTCTCAATTAAAAATAGAATTTATTAATAAATTTTATTAAAAAATATTTTATTTATTTTTTAATTGTAGTGTGAGCGATACTTCAAGTTTATTTTTATATCCCTTTTACAAGTGTTTTTTCTTAATTTGAGTGATTCTCAAAATTATTTTCTTTTAAATAAATTTTTCAAAAAGAATAAAGAATAAATTTTATATTCTATTTGGAGGGATTTATTTAGGGAGAGAAAATAAATTATTAAAGGAGGGGGACTTCCCTGTGAATTTTTTTCCAATTTTTCAGTTGTAGAAGAGCGTCTAAAATAAATTTTAATAAAAAATAATTATTTTTATTTCTATGGTATTTTTTCTTATTTTATAGTCCTTGAATTTAAATTGCCTTTTTTCTCAATTTTTGACCCTGATCAAACAAAGTTTATTTGTTTTCCCATTTTTTGGCCTTGGAATTAAACAATATTTGCAACTTTAATTGAAAAATATCAATTAAAAAAAGGAAAATGATCAATCAAAGATTAAAAATAAAATGTTAAAATACACAAATATTAAAATAAATAATTAAATAAAAAATAAAAATTGAAATGATTTAAGTTTATGATAAAAGAGATCGTGTTTGGCGAAAATCTCAACATTGGGAAAAATTGACAGATTGATCTAATTTTGGTATCATTCGATAGAGAATTAAATTTGACATAAAATACAAAAAAATCAAAAATTTAGATAAATTTACAAAAAAGTTATGAGCAGAAAACTAACATTTCTGTGAAGAAAATGTCCATTTTTTCAAGTTTTTCGTTCATAACTTTTTCTATTTACCAAATAAAATTAAAATTTAATTTTCATTAAATGTAAAATTTAATTCTGAACAAAATGATACTAAAAATGATTAAATTTGTTAAATTATTTAAATAGTTATGGGCCAAAAACTAACGCCAACTCCTTGTTTTCCGTTAAAGAAAAAGTTAAATTAAACTTTTTTAAATGAACAATGGGCAAGTTTAATTAAATAAGGTTTGTTTGAAACAAAGTTGGTTTTATAAAACTTTGTTTAAAACAAGTTTGAAAAAGTTTATTTAAAACAAGTTTATTTAATTAAATAAAGTTTGTTTGAAACAAAGTTTGTTTGATAAAAAGTTTGTTTGAAAAAAAGTTTGAATTAATAAAACTTGTTTTGAGTTAAATAAACTTTGTTTTAAATAAACTTTGTTTGTTGTAAAAAAAGTTTCCAAACAAGTTTATTTAAATACTAAATAAAATAAACTTTGTTTTAAACATTTTAATAAACAGGTTTATTTAAACAAAGTTGTAAACAATTTGTTTTTGTTTAATTAATTTAAAGTAGGTTTAAAACAAAGTTTAATATTTTTATAAACTTGTATTGTTTCAATAAATATTAAATAAATTATAAACAATGGAGAAAATATATTCTTATAACAAATTTGACAAAAAATATTTTTTAAACAACCCTAGAAGGAAAATAAATTTTTTTAAAAGAAATGACGATCAGCCGAGAATGTGTGTTTGTGATTGATAGAAGATGGCGGCATTTCAAGTTTTGTGGGAGGAACAAAATGAAAAAGGGGAGACGAGAACGCATACAACAACTACGAGAATTCGATTGAGAACTGCGAGAATTAAATAAATTTATTTTAAAAAAATAGTATGTGTATAAATTAATTAAAAAGAGAAATTAGTATTGAACAGTTTTTACAATTAATATATATTAATTTTTTAAAATTCTGAACTTTTTGTAAAAACAGCTTTTTAAGCGCATAGATAATCCTACTGGTTAGAAGAGCTGTAAAAAATGAGTTAAAAGGAGACCATTTTGTTTTTACTTTATAAATAGTACAATCTTTTTACAATTACAAATAAGCTTTTTAACCTCACAAATAATCCTACTGCTTTGGAGAGCTGTAAACAAGAGTAAAAAAAGAGGAAACCAGGAAACGAATACTTAACTTTTTTTACAATTTCCAGCTTTTTAAACTCATTGAAAATCCTGTTAGTTTGCAGAGCTGTAAGAGAGAAAAGGGAGAACCTAATAATAATAAATATGTACAACTTTGTTTCTACAATTACAATTAACAGCTTTTTAAACCCATTTAAAATCCTGTTGGTTTGCAGAGCTGCTGGAGAAAAAATTAAGTTGAAATACTTCAGTCGTTACTAAATTTTTAAAGGCCGGTCGTATGAAAAAAAACGTAAAATCTTTTCATGTTTTATATACCAATCTCCTCAAGTTAATAATACTTAAAAATTGTTTGTTCAAAAACACAAACCATCTTTTTTTTAATCAAAAGATTTATGTTTCTAATAAATTTTTTTATTAAAAAACGTAAATATATTTTTGTTTAAACACGAGAACTACAATAACAAAAAATTAATTTATCGCTCTGTCGGATAAAAGACAACAACAAAATTGTTTTTATTACCTATTTAGGTAGTTTAATAAAAATATTAACTAATAAAATTGTTTGTTTGTACTTTATGTTAAACAAATGTGTCAAATATTGTTATTCTTGAGTGATAATTTAATTTAATTTTATTTGTCATTTTAATATCAATTTAACAGACAAGGAAGGAAATTAATATTTTTTAAATTTAATTAGACCAAAAAATCAAGTGAATCTTCAAATAAAAATCCGTGCTTCTCTCAATCTTTCAAATAAGTTCGATTATCAGTTTTCAGAATCTCCTATTTATCATCAAAAAAATCCAATTCATGAGCAATAATATTTAAAGAACCGTCTGAATAAATAAAAAAATTTGTAATAGTTAATAAAAATATAATAATTCCCCAAAAATTGCCAACATTTTATAAATTTTATATAAAAAACTAAAATATCGGGACTCAAATGAGTTTATTCCATTCTCTCTCTTCGGCAAAAACAAATCAATATAGGCAAGCAAACATCTAGGTATCCTTTCTCTATTCTAGTCGTAAATGAAAGAAACGACCGGTCAAAAATTTTATGTATTTCGTTTAATTTTGCACAATTTGGTGTTTTGAAAAATCAAAACGAGAACGGTTGAGTTCAAAAAGGTCAGAAACTAACCGATAGGACTCAATCGTCCCCTTTTATATATACACTTTTTGTGATGACGTGCCTTTCTATTGAACAAATTAGTTTGCTAGAATTAATCAGATAATGAAATATATCCTCCTTGTCCAATACAGTTATTAACTAGAATGTAACACTACAACAATAGAATCTGTCCGTTTATTTAGGATCATGATACAGTAGCTTTTGATTGTTTTCCTTAAAATTAAAAATAATTACACAATATTTTAGCCAATCTGTCCCTAATATATTTATTGGCCCCAACATATGTCCTTAATATACTACAATAATAAATATGAAATTGAAACAACAACCCCAAATCTTATCCCCAACTAATATTAAAAAACGAAAAACTATACCCCCTGAATTGCTTGTGGATATATTCAAAACCATCAACACCTTTCCATATGAACCGTCGAGAGGTAGATCAAAGGATCCAGATGCCTTTTATATTAAAATATTAATTAAAATATTAAAAGGATTGTGGATCTTCTATACTAAAAAGTTGATGACTTCTTCGTCCATTGTCTATTTATCAGCTGGAAATGCTTTCCGACAGTGCAAGGTTGATTAATAAGAAAATAATAAATAGTACTCCTAAAAATAAAAATTATAAATAGAATAGTGGAAAGTATTGGGGTAAACGTATAGTTTACCTTTTTTCTCAATTCTTAATCTCCCTAAAAAATGAGGGCTTTTTCGATGTTTTTGAGGTTTTCCATTAGGTAGATACGTGTGCTAAACCCGAATGTGCTCAATTTTCATTTCGAACTACAGACCAGAATTCGAGCTCGAAGAGAATCTGTTTTTCAATTTCTACTTATAGATTGAATTCGCTTGGCCGAATTTCGGGTCCTGGACTCGAAATAAAATCTTAACTAATTCGGATTCAGTACATTTAGCTACATAATGACAAACCTCAAAAATATCGAAAAAAAGCACTCTGGCAAACCTCAAAAATATCGAAAAGCACTCTTTTTATGCTGGGTACCTTTCCGTACCGGCCGATTCCGTGCCCGTTGTAAAAGGGACGTTTCCATGCCAATTTCTCTATAAAATAATATAAAAATTTTTTGGAGGAATACAGTGAATATCAATGGACTTGTGCGTGACGTCTAGACATCAAGAAGGGGATATCGGTGGTTTTAGAGGGATATAAGCGAATTTTAAGCGATTAAGGGAATAATCCCACTATAGCGCGACCACAATGGCGCAGGCCACTATGGCGCGAGGCTTTAAACTAAAAATAAGGTCCGAAAAAGCCTGGCATTGTTATGAGCTGGTTATATAGGGGTCCTTTTGCATTATCCGACAGTTGCACGAGAGTATTTCCGTCCTATGTCCCTTAATCCCCATTAATCCCGAAAATCTGTCTTAATCCGCCCAAATCCGTTTTAATATGCGCAAATTCTTTATCCGCCCAAAATTTATACTTGATTGGCAATTTGACAGACCTTCTGGGTCTTGGCCTTCCGGATTTTGACCTTCTGGGTTGCTCCTAATAAATTAATCCGCTTTTAGATAAAGATTTGTGGCCACAGTTGTCGCGTCATTTTGTCCCGCGCCATAGTGTCCGTGTCCCATACAAGGGGGACTCAATCGTGAAGACTCACTTTAAATAGGAAAGGTCTGGAAAAATAAAATTTTTCACGGAAACGTCCCTTATACGACGGGCATGGAATCGGCGGCACAGAATTGCCTCAGTCCGACTTGTTAAAAATAGGATACAGTCCGAAAAGGCGCGGGCCGAAAAGGTGCGACCGAATAGGCGCCGGACGAATAGGCGCTAGGCCATATAGGCGCCGGCCGAATAGGCGCCAATCTTTTAAATTAAATATTCTGATTTATAAGCAATTAGAATGGTCCCAACATCAAATGGGACGGCCTAAGTACACTTTACCGGGGGATTTTAGATTTGAACAATTTATATGTCATTCGAAAGAGCTCGGCGAGCTGAGTCGAACGACACCAAAATTAGCCCGCGGACTCAACTGTGGGCCAAGATATAGGTCCCCAAAAATCGAAAAACCATAGGGGGGACCAAGCACATTTTGGGGGTGAAAAATTCGAATATGCGAATTATAGCTCATTCGAAAGAGCTCGACGAGCTGAGTCGAATGACACCAAGATCACAGTGATTGAACAAATTTAGACAAAGTTACAACACAAAATACAAGCAACATAAACCTATGGGGCGTCGGCGAGGCGCTTGTGCAAAACTCCGCGCTTCGCGCGGGGTTTTGCAGCACGCGCCTCGCGGGGAGTCTACGGGCGCTGGGTCTGGGCTCGTAACATAAACTTATGCCTATTTTAGCTGCGGTCGGCATGTCTGGCTTCCTCCCCAGTAAGAAAAACCTGCACGTAGACCAAAGGTAAGGAGCTAAAATAAATGCTCATAACTTTGTCAAATCAAGTTAGATTTCGTTGATTTTGGTATCATTCGACTCCGCTCGACGAGCTCTTTCAAATGAGGTATAATTTGTATATTCGAATTTTTGACCCCAAAATCGACCTTACTCCCCCCTTTGGTTTTTCAATTTTCAGAGACCTGTAACTCGGCTCATAGTTGAGTCCGCGGACTAATTTTGGTGTCATTCGACTCAGCTTGATGAGCTCTTTCGATTGACATATAAATCATAAAAATCTAAAATCCCCCGGTAAAGTGTATTTTAGCCAATGGGACCATGCTTGTGGAAGGGGGGTGTTAATTAAAAGCTTGGCGCCTTTTCGGCCGGCGCCCTTTCGGTCGCGCCTTTTCGGCCCGCGCCCTTTCGGTCGCCCTTTTCGGCCCGCGCCTTTTCGGGCTGTACCCATATTAAACTCTAAAAAAATTTTTTTATTTCAGAAAACTAGAAAAAATAAAAAAAATTATAAAATGTCTTCTGACAATTCTCCGGACAATTATCTGGCAGGTGGAAATATTCGTGATGAATTTTCTATGATAGAAGAACAAGCTAATAACATTTTATTTAATGAAGAATATTCTTTGAATCCCGATATGAAGGTGTTTTGGTCTGAGAAGTTCTTACGTGTTTTGAACGAAAAAAGATCATTGAAAACAGTTTTGAAGGATTTTCATGAGGTTATTTTTATTTTTTGTGAAGAACTTTTAGGTACAGGGAATTTCGGAATACTGAACTGAGATAGGGATAATGTGTCAATGGAAAGGGCTCGGCGATACGAATCGAATTACAACAAGATTTCGATTGGGGCACCACTGCTTTTAAGTATAGACTCTTGAAATTTGAAAAATCATAGATGGTACCCAGCTGATTTTTGGGGTTTAAATTCGAGTATACAAATGGTAGCTCATTTAAACGAGCTTATCGAGTTGTTTGTTTTTTAATTTTCCTTAGTGTTTATCAATTCTCACTGGTCTGTATCTATCAAATAAGTGCACAGTGTCGTTCCAATCGAAATTCTGGTGTCATTCAATTCACAAAAACTCGTTGAGACATTTCAAATGACAAGATTTGTCCCAACCGAACAATATTTGTCCAAATCAGGCCCAGTGTATATCCAAATCGGTCCGTGTTTTTTCTCCAAATTGTGGGAGAACCTCGGAAAAAGCGATTACTGCTTTTTATATGGCTTTTTACTTTGGCTATATGGTCTTGGATATTTCTGGAGGTGGGATATAAAGAAAGGGTAATACTTGGTTATCAAATGTTTGAAAAGTTGGGGCTTTGGGAAAATTTTGGGATCAAAATTCCAATTTTATTATTTAGAAGGAAGTAAATACTTTGAAATGTTTAAATTCTCGACTTAAGCATCACTATACAAAATTAATGGCTGAGAGCAAGAAAGAAATGGGAACTTTGACGACAATTGATACTTCGTCTTCTGAAGTTTGTTTTTCTATTTTTATATCTATATTTTTTAGAAAAACACAAAGAAATTGGTTTTTGAAGCAGCTACGGCACAGAACATTTCACAGGTACCTGTTCAAGATGAAGTTTCTTTAGAAGAAATGGCAAATAATATTTTGATGAAAGAAGAACTGTCTATTAACCCAAATACAAAGGTTTATTGGGTGGAGAAGTTTTTACTTGTTTTGACTGAGAAAAAAACTTTGAATTCTCAAATGGCAGGAATTTTGGTTAATCATGCGGTTTTTTAATTTATTGGGAAGGGAAATCCATGGGAAATTAACTTTTAGGATAATTTTGGAATACTAATACTATACAAAACATATGTTATTCGAAAGGTCTCGGCGATTCGAGTTAAACTAAATTTTCGATTGAAGCAGCACTGCGCTTCTCCTGAAAATATAAAAACCACAGGGAAATCGAAATTTTGGTGCATTTGACTCACATTAGCTCGATGACTCATTTTTGATGCCTTATGATTGCCCCAATCGGACAATGCTTGTTCAAATCGGGTCCATGTTTTTTCTCCAAATCGTGGGAAAAAGAACCCAGAGAAAAGCGATTATTGATTTTACTGATTTTTATTTATTAGGATCAAAATTCCAAACTTAATAAACAATTATATTATTTAGAAGGAAATGAGTATCTTGAAATATGAAAACTCGTTGCTTAAACACCACTACACCAAATTACTTAACGAGAAAAAAAAATTGGGGACTTCAACGTCAACTGATACTCCATCATCCACAGTTGGTTTTTCTATTTACATGGTGGGGGTGGGGGGGCAGTCCAGTAGCCAGGATTTATTTCGGGGGGGGGGGCAAGGGGGAAATTTTTCAGCGCAGAATTATCGGCGCCGAAGGCGCCAAAAATTTTGATTTTTAGCGCCGCAGGCGAAAATTTTTTGAATTTTGGAACTCAAGATCCAGATTTCTTCCTTTTTCAGCGCCGCAGGTGAAAATTTTTAAAATTTCGAAGGTCGTAGGAAAAAAATTCACATTTTGCCCAAGCCCTTCCCCAACTTTTTTCCTTTTCCCGATTTCGGGGGGGGGGGGGGTCCCCTCATCCCTCCCCTGGCTACGGGCCTGGGGGCATAATGTAAGGACTAATTATGTCGATACATGCCTAATATTTTCCGTTAATCTATTCATTCAAGTATTTTTTAGGATGTTTTAGGGTCGAATCTGAAAGCTGTTTTAAGTGCTTTTGTTTCACCGAGTGCGAAATCTACAATTTCATCTCCAACAGTTTGTTTTTCTATTAAAATATTGGGATGGGGTTGAGCCTTTTTTTATTTAACATTGGGTTTTTAATTTTGGGAAATTTTCGCTTTACTTTAAAACGACATGTAATTTATGTTTTTTTATTTAGACAAGTACCGGCTCACAAGAGAAAACTGTTACAGAAAAGACTGCCTCCATGAAAAAAATTAGCATGGTTTCAAAAGCTTTTGGTTCACCGAGTGAAATTTTGAAGTTTTCAACATCTCCAGTTTGTTTTTGTATTTAAAATATTGAGATGGGGTTGAGGCCTTTTCTTGGTTAACAATGGGTTTTGTGATTTTGGGAAATTTCCGCTTTACTTTAACGACAAGTATTGTATGTTTTTTTTATTTAGAAAAGTTACACACCACAGAAAACTGGTACAGAAAAGACTGCTTCTGCGAAGAAACATGGAATATGTTCTGTTTGCGAACTTGAGTCTGATAAAATAGGTATACATATTTCTTTATTAGTTGAGATTATATGTGGTATTTTTGAGTTAACCAGCTTTTGCGTACATTTATGCCCAGAATAGTAAGTATTCTTTCTTCAGTTTCACTTTTTTTTCCATGTGGCAACATTCGAGAATAGGCATTAATAAAGGATAGGTTTAAATGTAAATCCATTCTGTGCATAAACGTCCGCATAAATATGTCCGCAAAAACCTGTTTGGGATAACTCAGAATTACCTTATACCTATTTTTGTCCCATTTCCATTTTTCATTTCAGGCAATAATTATGGAGCAAAGAATAATTGTAGTGCTTGTAAGGTAAGATAGTTAATTTGCATTATTTACAAGGCATTTTGCAAAGGCATGTGCCCATTTTGGCCTTTCGCTTTATTTCTCCCTATTTTTCTTTTGGCCTATTTTTAGTATTTTTGTGGCATTTTGTAATTAAAATCGTTAAAAATTTAAATACCCTATACACATTTTTTTATTTTTGACTAATTTTGCACTATTTTTACATACCCGATTTTTTGTTTTTTAGACATTGTTAAATATGTGGGAAATAATTTTTAAGGCTAACATTGATAAAATATTTGCAATTTAAAGGACTTCTTTCGAAATAATCAACCATTTGTCGACCAACCATGCAAGGAATTAACAAATAATTGCACAAAGGATAAACTTTTATTGGTTTGTTTAGATTAAATAAAAAGGCTTAAAAAATCCATTTTTTAAGTGCAAACGCTGTCGGTATCTTAAGTGTCTGAAGGTGGGAATGAAGGCGGAGAATGTAAATTTGAAGCATGTTAGACGACCAAAAGTTTGTTTTTAAAAGTCACTGGGGGGGGGGGGGGGGGTACACCTTTTTTTAGCTTTCGGGGAAGAATATCTAAAAGTTTCCGTAGAATCTTATTGAGAAGGGTTTGTCTGTCAATTTTATAAAAAATTGGGTTTTTATAGTAAATTGATTTGGGGTAATGAAAGTTTTTGATGTGAGCTATGAAACCTGGAATATTGAAGCAGTTGAATTGTGAAGCAGGTCGAATATTAAGCTTGATTGGATACTGTATAAACTTTACCAAGTCAGTCGTTTTGGAGCTCAATGTCCATTGCCAACAATTTCGCTGCTGTGAATCGGCGTATCCCGAGGCCCTGTGCCATTGTTGTTTCTCTACTTTGCTAAGCTACGCAGCTTTTATTAAAGCTTTTTTAAGTACCTGATGCATTAAAGTTGAATCAGATTTGCGACAGATTAGTCGTAAATTCATGGAGCGCTTTTCGAGGCCATCTGCCAAAAGCTCTACCAATTATCAACTATTTAGTGTACTTTATATCAACTTATCGACTTATTCTACCAATTATCAACTATTTAGTGTACTTTATATCAACTTATCGACTTATTCTACCAATTATCAACTATTTAGTGTACTTTATATCAACTTATCGACTTATTCTACCAATTATCAACTATTTAGTGTACTTTATATCAACTTATCGACTTATTCTACCAACTACAAATTGAAGGATCTTAGTATTGATCGAGGGATTAAGGGAGTTATTAATCAAGGAAGTTATTTTGCCTTCCAAACTTTCAGGAAATTTCACCTGTGCGGTGAAGAGGGGGAATTTTCGATTTCAGATTTTGAAAATTATTTAAGATTTCGATATTTTTGAAATTCTTTCGAGTTCCAATTTCCGAATTTAATGATTTTCTTTACTGCTTATGAAGAGGGAAGCAGAGTTGCGTCGTAATTATGAAGTACAGCATTTTTTGAGTTACTAATTACAATTACAAAATTTTGCTTAAAAATGATTACGAAAAAAGTGGGGTAATATTGGTGGGTTAGTTGTACTTTTTGATTACAAGATAATGTTTTCTAGAGGTTCTCAAGTTTTAAATGTGCGCTTCGATTTGCTAAATGTTTATGTCAGGGGATGTTAAAGATGCTTTTGAATCATGTTTTGATTAGTACGTGTTTTGCTGGTGACGGGAAACTCGTGATAAATTTTCAAACATGTTTTGATTATTTCGATAATAGTAACTACGTCTAGAGTTGTCCTGTTTTGCTAGCGATATTAACGCCGAAGGCGTTCTCAACGCAGTTTTTTAGCTCTTTATTTCCCCTTAATCCAAAAATATTTTTAAGGAAAATTGGTTAAAATATTTAGGAAGAAGCTGGGTCGGAAGGAGATGAATCCACAAAGAAACCCAAGATGGACTCATAAATTTTTTAAATAAATATATTCATAAAACACATAATTTATTTTTGATTTAAAAATTTTCGTAAAAAGTCTAATTTAAATAAACTATCTATTGAAATTATAAATATAAAGAAAGTGATTTAGTAAAAAGTCAAATTACGGAAAATATCGAAAATTTTTGAAGAAACTTTTTGGAATTCCTTTATTGTCAAAATATTTTTTACAAAGTATTTAAATGCAACAAAATGAAAAAGGTCTCAGAAACATTACTTTTTTGTAAATTTAAATAAAAGGAATGCGCAGTGGCAGACATTTTTCTGGGGACAATCATTCTAGTGTTTTTAGCATTTGCAAAATTCTTTTGGCCTTCTTTATTTTTGTGTATTTTTGTAGCCCTCTTTTTGTTACTTTAAATGGTTATAAACTTGTTTAGGAAAATGTCCTATTTAAGCAGGAAAAGTTATAACAATTACGCAGACATTTACCTAATAAAAAACAAAGTTTAATTTTTTATGAAAAACTGATATAGAAAAGATGTCAAAAAATTCCTGAGATCTTCCCTAGCGATATGATGAAAAATGGCAAAAGAATCTAATTTTCAACTCACCCTCCATCATCGAGATCAGAAGGCTGAAATATCTTTTGAATCATATTACCATCATTTTCACTTGATTTCTGATCTCGATGATGGAGGGTGAGTTGAAAATTAGATTCTTTTGCCATTTTTCATCATATGGCTAGGGAAGATATCAGTAATTTTTTTACATTTTTCTATATCAGTTTTTCATAAAAAATTAAACTTTGTTTTTTATTAGGTAAATGTCTGCGTAATTTTTGGGTAGGTTATCTATTATAACTTTTCCTGCTTAAATAGAACATTTTCCCTAAACAAGTTTATAACCATCTAAAGTAACAAAAGGAGGGCTACAAAAATACACAAAAATAAAGAAGGCCAAAAGAATTTTTTGAGCGAATACTAAAAACACGAGAATGATTTTCCCCGGAAAAATATCTGCCACTGCGCATTCCTTTTATTTAAATTTACAAAAAATGTTTCTGAGAGCTTTTTCATTTTGTTGCATTTAAATACTTTGTAAAAAATATTTTGACAATAAAAGAATTCCAAAAAGTTTCTTCAAAAATTTTCGATATTTTCCATAATTTGACTTTTTACTAAGTAAATAACTTTCTTTATATTTATAATCTCAATAGATAGTTTATTTAAATTAAAACCAGTTTTCAATTTTTCGTGTTTATAAAAACATAATTAATTCTTTAAATAATCCTATAATTCATTCAAGATGACAGTTATTTTATTAAGGATTTTTTAAAAGTTTTTTCACGTAAAGTCCAAGTTTCCAGTTGGATTAAACCTTCATTTTTCCAATTTAAACTGGGAAGACTAAAAAATAATTTTTTCTCCTTCTTCCCAAGTAAAATTCGGGACTGAGCCATTTAACAACACATTAATATTAGTATGATTTTAATAAGGAAGAAAATTTTTATTTTTTACAAGTTTTTTAAAAATAATATGCCCCTTTATTGATAATATACATATGTATATACCCTGATTATTATCAAAAAAATTTTTTTACTTAAAAAATTAACAGAAAAACACATTTTTGAGCACAAAAATAAATAGAAAATAATGCAAAAATTATATATAAAAAATAAACTTTGAATTTTGTTTTTAAGTATTCTCAATTTTTTAATGTAAAAAGCTCTCCTTTTTTAAGTCTTTTCTTAAAAATTGTCCCATTTTTTAAAGAATTTTGGGTGGAGGAGGTGGCGGGGGAAGCAAAGAAGCAAAAGAAGAATCTTCTTCCTTCTCTTCATTCATATCCACATTATTATTATTATTATTATTAGCTGCCATAATACAAATTTTAGAGGGAGGTGGTGATAAAAATGTTGGTGGAGGTGGTGGAGGTAAAAGAAGAAAAGAAGTGGGAGGAGGAGGAGAAGGATTTTGTTGTTGGTGTTGAGGTCTGGAAATATGTTTTTTATATAATTTTTAGAGAATATTCTTTAGAAGAGGAAATATTTTTTAAAAAATTATTAATTCAATTTTTAAGTTTTATATATATTTCGGCAAAATTCTCTCCGTTTTTTCATTCACAAATCAAAATTTTCTTTTATTAAGGTAGGCCTGTAAACTGATTTTTTCAGGCGGGGAGCCAAGGGGGAAATTTTTTCTGCGCGGAAATTCACCCTCCCCCTGGCTACGGGCCTGGGCTCATGTGAGAAAAAATTTTTTTTGAGAATTTAAACCGAAAAGCAGAACCAAAAAATACTTTTCCTACCTTTTTTGATGTTGTCCATTCGAATAAACATTTAAAAGCGGTGGTGAAGGAAAGAAAATACTACTTGAAGGCGCTGTTGCTGTCGTTGTTGTTTGTGACGGCATTATTAATATTTGTTTATTATTATTTGTCAAAAAATTATTTTTATTATTATTAAAAGGTTTTGGAATTGTTGAAGTATTAAAAAATTGAAGTTTATTATTATTATTAAAATATTGATGACATGTTGGTGATGCTGTAAATTGTTGTTGTTGAAATGAAGGTGGTAAACGTCTTTTTCGATTATTTACAAAATTGAGAGGAGTAGAAGAATTATTCTTTAAAAAGAAAAAAAATAATCTTTAAATTTTTTTTAATTTTTAAAAAATACATGTTCCCTTCACCCTATACGTAGTGCGAAGGGAACACGATTTGTACGAAAAATTACAAAAAAAAAGAGAGAAAACATGTCTCTTTCACACTATATATAGTGCAAAGGGAACATATATTTATTTTTAGAAAAATGAAAAAAAATTTTTTTATATGTTCCCTACACACTACACATAGTGCGAAAGGAACATGTAAAAAAATTTTTTTTAATTTTAGAAATATACGAGAAAAAAAATTTTTTTTCCTCCTTTCCCTAAAAATCAAAATTATAAATTATTTTTTATAATTCACCTTATTTAAGCTTGTTATATAATTTTCAATTTGATTTCCGCCTCCACCTCCACAACTTGATTTATTTTCAAAAATATTTTTATTATCGCTAATATATCCATTTGATTTAAATAAATTTGAATTTTCAATTAAAGCATTTTCTGCAGCCTAAAATTCAAAAAAAAAATTTTTTTAATTTCTTCGTATATTTATTTCACCTTCATTTGTGCAAGATGCATACTTGCACCAGTACCGACCGCTAATCGTTTATTTCTGAAAAATATGAGAAAATACATAAAATAATTCTGATTTAAAAAAATACAAAATTCTGATTTTTATAACGAAAAACACATTTTTAATATAATCAAAAAAATCAGAAATTTATTTTTAAAATCAGAATTTTAGAATTCTTGATTTACAAATAATTCTGATTTTTTAAAATAAAATTCTGATTTTTTTATTGTATCAGAATTGTATTTTTATTAAAAAAATATCAGAATTTTGCTTTTAATAAATCAGAATTTCGGGTTTATTTTTAAAAAATCAGAATTTTCAGAAATTCTGATTTCTAAAAATAATTCTAATTTTTTTAAAATACAAAATTCTGATTTTAAAAAAAAATTCTGAATTAATCAGAATTTATATTCTCTCTCTCTCTCTCCTCACCTAAAATAGACAGCTACTCTATATATTCTTGTATTTGTAGGTCCTTCAATTCCAATAGTTTTGTATTCTGGAATATCAGGTTCTGACGAGGCAAAATTTCTAAGGGTTAAACAGGACTGTTGTAATTGGGATTTTGGGTCATTCCAACGTTGACTTAGAATAAAATACTTGAAAAAAAAAATTTTTTTTAATTTTTGTGATAACAAGGAAACCTTTAATCCTGGAAAAAAGCAAACACGACAAAAATGACGACAATATAATAAACCTCTATCTACATAAAGAGCACCCAAAAATGCTTCTACCTGGAATAAATTTTAAATAAAAATTAAATTTTAAAAATAAAAAAAAATTTTAAAGAGGAAGTCATGTTCTCTACACACTACACATAGTGCGAAGGGAACATTAATTTTTTAAAAAAAAAATTTTTTTCAGTATGTAGGAAGGGACATGTTCCTTACACACTACACATGGTGCGAAGGGAACATCTAAATTTTTAAGAAAAAAATTTTTTTCTTACCAAATCAGCCTTGTCTTTAGTTCGAAGATTTGGTTGAGGGCATTTTCTTAATAAAGCCTGAAAAAGAATTTGTTAAAAAAATTTATTAAATTAACGAAAAAACCTGTGGAATAACCAAATATTTAACCATCGCTAAATCATCACAAACAACAGCTTGAGTAGTTGCTTGAACTAAACAAGTTCGTAAAAGTGATAAATGTCCTTCTTGGTGGTATGGAAATTGTTTGTAAAGGTATTCACTTGTTAACAACTTTTAAAGAAAAAAATTTTTTTAATAAATATTTTTAAAAAACCTGTAAAATAGTATCACCCAAAAATTCTAAACGTTGATTATGTCCACTAAAAATTGGAATTTTTAATCAATTTTTAGAAAGAAAATTTTCTGGTACTTTATTTGTATAGGTGAGATAACCCTCTTTTTGGGTTGTCGTTCATCTTATAAGAAGGGGTACAAGGATAAACCAGTTTGAGAGAAAAAAAGAAGGATCAGTACTCGGATCACAGTTTTCAAAAAAAATTTTTGGGTCAGGTTTCGGGTGAGTATCGTCGTTAAGTAGCCTCTCCCCTTCCTTACTCACCCAATGGCTAACCAAATTTTTCTTAAAAAAAGTATCCTAATTGAGGTGAGTGTCTTCCCATTTTTAGGAGTACCAAAAAATGAGAGGTTTTTTGACTGTATAAAGTGAGCTCAAAGCAGTTTAAAAATTTTTAAAATTAAAAAAACTGTTCTTACAGAGTCAAAAAATTGTAAGGAACATTTCTTCTAGTAAAAGCTTTAGCAAGTAATCTAATATGTTTAAATGTTATTCCAATACAACGTTCAAATTCAACAAGTAATTTAAGACAAGGCACAGAAGAAATTAAATGTCTATCACCATAAGGAGTGTCTTTCTAAATTTTTTTTCTTTAAATTTATTTAAAAAAATAATAAAAATACTTTTAAAGGATGTTCAGGTAAATTTGTCCAAATTTGAAGTAAATTTGATTCATTAATAAATAATGCATTTGCAAAGATTCTAAAAATAATAGAAGAAAATTATTTTTATAAAAGAAAATTTTAAAGTCGTTAAGAAATTTTTTTTCTGGTAGATCGATGTGAGTTTCTGAACCAGGGAGAGGCCCTTCCACGTTTTAAAAGTGGAATAAGGAAAAAGCGAAAAAGAGATCCCATCCCTGATTCAATAGCCCATCCTTGGTCTAGTTCTTAATTTTTCCTGTGCCCAATGCTAAAATCAAGTCATTTTTCAGATTTATTGTGATTTTTCTTGACTAAAGGTCTGAAATCTGATAAAATTCGGGAACTAAAATTCGGCTACTTCCCAAGTTTTCCCTGCCCATTTACTCCTCAAGTTTCTCTCCTTAGGTCTCAAATTTTAGTAAAATTCTTTAATGGGAAAAAGGAAAAATATTGGGAAAATTATGATAGGAAAAATAAAATTGAAATTCAAAGAAAAAAAACCTCCTTACTTATCACATTGTTCAAGACCAGAATCAAGAAAAACGGCAGCCATTAAAGCCTCAAAAGTATTAGCCATTGCATGACGTAAATCTGCAGAATGGCACAAATCGGGACCGTGTGCATAAACCATAAAATGTTGTAAACCTAAACGATCCCCAAGAGTTGCTAAATGACGATTTTGAACCTTTAAAAGAAAATTTTTTTTTGAAAAAAAAAATAAAAACAAAAAAAAATTACTAAAGCAGATCGAAATGTAGCTAGACCACCTTCATCCAATTCAGTAAATAAGAAAAATAAATGTATAGTTGTTAAAAATTCAACAACAGCATCTCCAAGAAATTCTAATCTATAAAGGGGAAAAAAGATAAAATAATAAATTAACCTCTTAAAAAAACATAAACCTTTGAAAAAAATTTTTGATTAAGGGGGAGAGTGGTAGTCAGGGGGAGAGCCACAAGGCAATAGGTCGCATTTTTGTTAAAAATCTTCGAATCCAAGAAACGCCTTGCATAATATATTTCGACAACCGAGTAAAGTTGATTCGAGTCAAACCTCTAATTTCCGAGATTCGAAAATTTTTAACCAAGCCCTAGTAAATGGTTAAGCTTGGGGACTAGATAGAATTATATACCCATAAAATTTAATTTCACAAAACCCTTTCCAAAAAATAAATAAAATTATTTAAAAACACAAACCTTTCATTATGTTTAATAATAGATTCATTAATACGATTAACAATTCTTCCATCACCTCCATTATTTTCTTTCATTTTATTATTCTCATTTTTATTACTTGAAGAACGTTGCATAGACATAATTTCCATTAAAACATTAATTCCTCTCCTTCTACCAGTTTTTTGAATTAATTGTTGTTTAGTTAATAATTCTAAAGAATTTTCTGTTGAATTTTTTGATGGTGAAGAGGAAGAAATTAAATTTTGTGGAGAAGGAATTAATGGAGATTTTGAAGTTGCTGTTGTTGTTGCAGTAGTTAATCCAATTCTTAAACCACAATTATTCAAAACATTTTTTGCATGATCAGAATTTGTTCCATAATTTGCACGAAATGAAGGGTGAATTAATGCAAGTTCCAAAAGAGAACGATTCTTTAGAAAAAAAATTTTTTTAATAAAATTTCAATCTTTAATATTCTTCTGGTTTTTCCCAAAATTTTGATAATTCTGATTTTTTAAAACGTTTTTCCACAAATTATTCTTTTTTTAATTTTTTTTTGGGACTCACAAAATGTATTTTCTAGAGAGCGAGATTTTCAAAAAACCTTGACCTTGATTTCGGTTGGGTACCTTGACCAGATTCTTGGCCTTGAGTCAAGGAAAAATCAAGGAACGCTGAAAAATGCATTGATATGGACTCTGGATACAGGAAAAATCAAGGTCTGGATCCAGATCCAGCCCGCTCTCTAGTATTTCTCCAAAATTCAGTGATTTTGTATTTTTATTTCTATAAAATTCTGACTTTTATATTTTGTTGCAATTCTGATTTTTTTATATTTTTTTGAAATTATTCTGAATTTTTCAAAAATTTATTTTTTCCGTTCTCTATGCCTTTTCTCTATATTTCCTTTCATTTTTTAAATTTAATAAAATTAATTTCAAACTTTAAATGTATAAGCCAATCGTTCCTCCAAAAAATTTAAAGAACAGTGAAAACGAACATGTTGACAGGCCAAAACAAGTAAAATTGAATGTAAAACCTTTAGAAAATTAAAAAAAATTTTTTTAAATAAGAATACCATGTCAGAACAAATTCCAGTTGAATAAAAATCCCTTGAAAATAAAAAAAATTTTAGAAAAAAAATATTTTAGTACCTTGAGCTAATATGGACAATTGTATTTCTTTTAGATTTACTTAAAAAAATTTTAATTAAATTCTCAAAAAAATTTTTTTAAATTTCTTTACCATTCCCTTTTCAGAGCATTTAAATGTGCTTCACTTTTTCTTAATAACCATTTTTCTTCAAAAGTTATTGAAGGTTTTGAAGATAAATGTTTACGTAATTGTAAGTGTTTGTATAAAGCATCTTGCATTCTAAATTGAAAAAAAAATTTTTATAGAGGAGCCCCAAACAATAATAGCTCAATCCGAATCGTATTTATCAGTTAAAAAAGGGACAACCCAAGAAAAATTGAAATCGACATTTCTAAAAGTAGAGGAGACAACCAGAAAAACGAAAAGACCAGAAAAACCAGAAAAACGAAAAATCAAAAAAAAATTTTTTTGTAGAGGAGCTCCAAACAATAATATCTCTTTTCGAATCCTATTTTTTAGTTAAAAAAGGAACATAAAACCCCAAGAAAAATTAAAATCGACATTTCTAAAAATGGAGGAGACAAGCAGAAAAACGAAAAGTCGGTCCGTTAAGTCCCAAGCTTTTTTTTAATTTAAAAAAAATTAAAAATTAATTTACTGTGGTCTAGCCAAAAAAGCATATGCATTAGGTTTTATACCAAAATGTGTAATTATTGGATAAAATTCTTTATTGTCTGCAGATTTTTCTAACAAATCCAAACGTATTGCCAAAGGTTTCTTTTAAAAAATGATTTTAAAAAAAAATTAAAAAAATTCAAAAGACCTTTTTAGGATTTATACAAATTTCCCCCTTCTTTTGACAAGCAAAATCAACTAGTGCCAAAGGGTTAATGTGAAAATATTGAGCTAATCGGTCATCTACTAAAGGCGTAAAATTTGTAATAAAATGAGAAAGAATTGAAGAAAGTGGTAAAAGCTCTTTTCCGTTATCTATAAATTTAAAAATATTCAAAAAATTTCAAAATTAAGTGTCTCAAAAATAGAATTTTGAGAAACAAAAAATGATAAAAATTAGAATTATAGAAGCAAAAAATGGAAGAAAATAAAAAATTAATTAATATAAAAGTAAAAATGCCTATGTGCCTATATGGAGCAATGCCCCGAGCAGGCAAATTCCTGGCAGTTATTACTAGGTGCTTATTCACTCACCACTACATAGTACACAAGTGCTATACTGACTCTGTTACGAGGGAAGTTGTTTTCATCTTCCTTCGGTAATATTTCTTCCTAAATCCTCCTCCTAGTAATCGTCTTCCCCCATCCCTATATAAATTTTACTTAAAGCCTAATTCTTTCCTAATCTTTTTTATCTAATTTTTTATATTTCTAATAAACCTGGTAAAGATCTAGCAAATCTTGGCAAACAATGATAAAATGGACAAGATGAGTTAATTTCTTCTTTTGAAATATTTAATTGTCTATTTAAATCGTAAAGTTCTAAAATTCCTTCAAAAAGAAAAGAATGAAATAATTCGAGATCTGCAACTGTAAAACTCTAAAAAATTTACAAAAATTTTTTAAGCTTAAAAATCCAAAAAAAACCTCTGGAGCATTTTCATGTAAAAATCTCACTTGAAAATGTTGTGTCCATTGATTTATTGGACGTTGAGGGAAACGTTCAGGTAAAGGTTTGTGAAAGAAAACAGAAAAACCTTTTGAAGATAAAATCAAAAAAATCTTTTTTTTAATTTAAAAAAACCATCAAATTTGTAGCAATGACCATCAATTTGAATTTGTGTTGGATGACGTGATAGTGATGCAGGATTGGGCTTTAAATTATTAAAAAAATTTTTGCTTAATTTACAAGGGACCTTGTCGAACTCTAACAAGGGAACAGTATTAATTTTGCACATTTTCGGTATCATTAAAGGGCGTAGCTAGGGGGCCAATTTCAAGGGGGTCCCTTTCTCCTCAATTCATTTTCCCTCCTCATATTTCTCACTTTTCCCTATCTCCCCCAGAAGCCCTACCCCCTGGCTACGCCCTCGGTATCATTAAATAATACGGCCCAGACGTGTTATTGACTATAATTCCTATTTAATGACACCAAAAGAGCACAAAATTAATACACACAGTTAAAACATCCCATAATTAGAATTAAAAAACCTCAACATGAAGAACATAATGATATAAACGTTCAATATTACTTCAAAAAAATTTTTTAAATTAATTCAAAAATTTTCGAAAAAAAAACCTAGAATTCCAATCACAACGAGGAAAAGCTTTTTCCCCAGCAAATTTTCCATGTCTAACCCCAGTTTGTTTTGCAGCCCAAGAACATTTGCATAGAGGGCCATCGTTAAGTTGGCCTGGTTCGTTGAATCCGATATCGGGATGTAAAGCAGCTGGGTGTGAACGTTTACGTAAAATCTATTGAGGGAAAATTTTTTTAGAAAATTTCTTGGGGTTTGAAAAAATTTTAAAAATTTTAGAAAAATATTTTGGAGGTTGAAAAATCTTTTTAAAATTTTTTGAAAAAATTCCGAAAATTTTTTGGGGGCTAAATTTTCCAAAAAAGATTCTCAAAAAATTATTTTTTCTAAACCTCTTCACGTGCAAAAGATTTTATTTGTTGACGCTTTCGTCTTCGCCGCCCAAATCGTTTTTTTAAAGGAGACGAATTGTTGGAATCACCACCACCCCCAACAGTATTTCGACCATTTTTAGAAGTGTTATGTGCTAAAATAAAATTTTATTTTAACATTTTTTGTCAAAACTTACAAGAAATTGAAGAACTAGAAGAATTATCAGAATTTTCTCCTCCATTGTCAGAATCACTGTCACTTCCAGCTACATGTTTTGCTACAAAATTTATAAAATTTCTTTGTAAAAATTTTTAATACTCGGACCCCGCCTAAATGTAGTCACGCACTTGAATGTACATTTTTACTACGATTGGCCGCTGAATATTGGAAATTTTATGAGCGTTATCGCATACCCCCTATTTGTGTAGGAGGTATGTATGCACATCACGAGGGAACACTTGTTAACTGTTGTGTAAATTCGATATTTTTTAGTCGACTACACGTGCTAGTTCGAAGCAATATCCGGTTTGTTAAAAAATTAGATAAGGCGATCGAGTTATGACCAGGCAAATTTTCGATTTTTTAAGCGTTTAAGAAAAAGACGGAACAATTTTTCAATCTCAAAAGGGGTGCACCAAGACTTTTTCTAGGATTGTAAAAAAAAAAGAACTAACAGCAATTATTATTAGCAGCATCACAATTATGAGAAGAACAATTATTTAGATTTATTGAAGGAGGATCACTTTTTGGTTGTGTTGCTAAACCTTCTTTAATTGTTTGAATAATACAATTTTCAAATTGGCGTTGAAGAGAAAGTAAAGCTGGCGTTGCTGTTTGACCTCCTCCACGAGCCTCAATTTTTTAAAAATTAAAAAAATCTTTTTGATTTTCAAGTCAAATCCAGAATTCTCCACTACACATATAGAGAATCACAAAAAAATTTAAACAATTTTTCAATATCATAGAAATTGGGGTTGCAATGGATGAAAGCAAACCAAATCACCGAGAGTACGCTTTCAAAAATTAATTTTAAACTCTCCGTACAAAAAGGTCACTCACATCCATATGTTCAACCCGTTTTTTAGAAATTTACAAAATTTTATTGGACCAAAATCTCAATAAGTCAGATCTTGACAATTTTGGAAAATTCGACATTTATTTCGTCAAACTACCCCAAAAATATCTAATCGACTTTCTATTTTCTTCGGCAGACTGACATGCCTTTGAGTGATGTTCGAGACTCTCGGTCTCGGTTCACGAGTCAGCAAAATTCCCGGGGTTTTTGAGCTCTCAGTCTTGACTAAAAAAGTCGAGAACACCCGAACATCACTGCCTTCTACTTCCAATCAAGTTTTTAAAAATAAAAAAAATGACTTACCCGATTGTAATATTTACCAGGAGCTATAGACTGTGTCCAAAAAGGTGAAGTACTTATTCCATTTAAACTTTCATCTTCCATTAATTGCTCATTTTCTCCTTCCTCATCATCATGCAATTCTTGTTCATCCCAAATTTGTGAAGTTGTAAAAATTGGTTTTTGAGGTGATTCTTCATTTGATTTTGTGCTCTAAAAAATTTTTCATAAAATTTGAAACAGACAAGATCGTTTTTCTCTGCGGTTCAAATTCCAAAAATCAAAAATTCTCGCCAAATTCTTTCTGACGACCACCGCCACATTTTTATTAATTCTTAAAACCGGAGGTCCTCATATTCAAAAAATTTTCTGAAACCGTTAAGGAGACTGGGATTTTCTTCAAAATAATCGGTAATTCTGAAGATTGTCCCCCCCCCCCCCCCCATTTTTTCCTTACTTTTTCCTTCCTTATGATTGTACACAATGGTCAGATTTTTCCCCTTTCCCTTTTCTCTTTGGCATATTCAAACGAGAGAGAAGATTAGTTTTGCATTCATCAAATTATTTTTTGCCTGTTTTTTAATTCTTTTTTTATTAACATAATTTCCGAAGGCAAAAAATAATTTGATGAATGCAGCAAAACTAATCTTCTCTCTTGTTTGAATATGCCAAAGAGGAAAAGGTAAGGGGAAAAATCTGACCATTGTGTACAAACATAAGGAAGGAAAAAGTAAGGAAAAAAAGGGGGGGGAGGGGGGACAATCTTCAGAATTACCAAATAATCTTTAAAAATAAAACCTTATCCTCCACTTCCTTTGAAAATGAATCAAGTTCTCTCCCATCACCAATTAATTGACTACTTCTCCCCTCTCCATATTCTCCTTCCTCATCTGACGAGATCTTCAAAAAAAAATTTTTTTTTAATTTAATTCAGACAAAATTAACAAACCTTTTCCATTAAATATTTGTCGTCCTCCATCAATGTCAATTTTCAAAAAAACATCAAAAAAATACCAAAAAAAATCAAAACCTTTCAAAAAAATATTAAAAAGTAACCAAATACATTATTCAAAAAATATTCAAAATTTTTAGACAAATTTTTTATCCACACAAATATTTTCATTTTAGAAGAAAAAACAAAAAATGGTTACAATTCAAATCAAAAAATAATAATAAAAGGAATTAAATAAATTCTTTTTTTCCTGTTCTTCCCCCATAATTTTCCATTGGAGAAAAAAACACAATTTTTTTAAAATTCGATTTCAACCAAATTTTCATTCAAGTTTGACGCGTGGATGCTAAAAACCGAAAAAAATATAAAAATTGGGGAAAAACTCCAAAAAAACCTTCATTCCATTCATATAAGCTTCCAATTCCCTATCTAATTCTGCTGCAGTTTTTACTTGAGTTGTAGTGTTACGACCAACACGACGCGGTTTAGAGACACCACCGCCAATAGCTCGACCGATTGGAGAGCGAGATCTAAATGAAACGAGATTTTTTCGTAAGGTGAGGATCAAGAATGTCATGGGTTATATAAAATACGACCTGGACTTATCCAACCCCGAACCACTTCGAAAAATTCTCAAATATTTTTTCCCAACCCATGACATCGCTAATAAAAATAGGGTAATTCTGAAGCTGTTTCCTCCTTTTTTTGCTTATTTTTTCCTTCCCTAAGATTGTACGTAATGGTCAAAGAAATAAGGAATCAGAAGCCCCTGACACCTAGTGATCAAGGAACAATTAATAACTGAATCCAGATTCAACCTGATGTCGCTCAAAAATTTTCCCCAATATTTTATTAGACACATACAAAACCCACACACATGTAAATCCTTAAAAAAATTCTCGAACCTAGAATATGTGCGGGACGATTGTCCACTATCAGAACGAATACGGCGACCTCCTCCACCACCAGCACCTCCTCCCCCTCCTCCTCGACGTCCACCACCACCACCAACATTTCCACGTCGACGCCCTCCTCTCAAATTGTCTCGCCTTTGTTGATTTTGAAATTGAGGTGTAGCAGCAGCTTGTTCATTAACTATTGCGAAACGAATCTTTTGACCTAAAAATCGAATAAATTTACTAATTGAAATTAGAAATAACCGTCAATAGCAATATTTGCATATTCACGTAAAATAGCCTTTGCAGAGCGTCCATCTACAAACAAATCAGCCGTGCCCATGTGCTGACCAAATTCGTCATAATGTACTCCAACACCAAGGAGGTTAAATTCTTGGAATAGTTCCTTAAAATTTGAAGAGAATTTTGAATAAAATAAAGGGTCTTTGCCCAACGAGAAAAAGAATTATTTGCTATAAACACTAAAGATAGGCTTGGATCTGAATATAGACAAGGATCTTTCCTGAATCCGGAGTCAAGATCAAAGCATTTATTCAGTGTTCTCGATTTGTCCCTTACTAAAGGTCAAGAGGCCATGGTCCGCAATGACCTCTTGACATGGAAAAAAATCCAGAGTCAAAATCGTGTTCCTTGTCTAACCTTGACAAGCATGATAGAGGTTCCCAACGAAAGCAAGGGCCTTTTAAATTCCTGATTCCAGTTCTATCCCATACCTATTCCAAAAATAAATAAAATAAAAAGAAACCTGAAGATCGCCAGTAAGAACAGTATCAGGCAAATTTGAAATATTTATCCAAACAACATCTTCCCCAGACGTATTATTAGTCCTTCGCCCTCCTCCACCTCCAGATTGCCGTCTAGGTCCACTGCCGAATCCACTATTTCCAAACCCAGAATTTCCAAATCCGGAGTTGCCAAATCCAGAGTTGCCAAAACTCCCAGAATTACTTCCAAAGCTCTGGTTTCCAAATCCACTATTTCCAAAGCCAGCATTGCCAAAACCTCCTCCACCTCCACCACTATTACGACGTCGCTGATTTCGTCTACCTCCTCCTCTTCCTAAAGGTAAAGGCTCATCAATTCGAGGTGCTGCGCGTTTGCCAACACGACGTTTAGAAATTATATCGTCCTACAAATTATTTGAGAGTCTATACAAATTAGAAACACCCAAACAAACCAAAGCAGCGTTTACGTCCACAATGCTGTCAGATATCATAAGTCAATGTAAACAGGCAAAAATACAAATTTTATATTACTGACTCTTAAAAAATAAAAAAATTTAATTAACAAACACAACCATAGGCTCCTATACAAAGGATCGTTTTTTAAAGGATCGCCCTGTTAAAGGATCGTCACGGGCAAAAAGTATTAAAGGGCCGTTCATTAAAGGATCGTCCATCAAAGGATCGCCAAGAGTAAAAACGTTCAAAGTAGGGTTGGTCCCCGACCCCGACTAACCCCGACCCCGACCCCGAACCCCGACATTTTTTGACCTAAAACCCCGACCCCGACCCCGACATTCCCAACCCCGAAAACCCCGACCCCCGAAAGTTCGACCCCGACGACCCCGAACCCCGAAAAATTTTTATGCCCCCGACTCAAACTGCATTAATTAACTAGAGATGGAACGGGATCGGGACTTTGATGCTAAATATATGAAGGAAAAGGGAAAGGAATATTTATATTTTCTCCTGTTTCCCTTTGTTGGTCGATGGTTGAGTGGTTAAGTTAACTGACTTCAGCCATTTAGCTATTTTGATAGGAATGTTGTTCGAATCCAGGGATGGAAATAAGGCTGAGAAAATTTTTCTTCTCAAAAATAAATATTTTTAAACTATGATCTTGATTTTAAATTTGTAAATTTATTTTTTTAAATATTTTAAACTTGAAACAATATTAGAAATTTTAAACTAGTCATGAATTTTCCAAAATTTTCGCCTGCGGCGCAGAAAATTGAAGAAATCTGTCTCTTGGCCTTCCAAAATTCTAAAAATTTTTGCCTGCGGCGCCGAAAATGGAAGAAATCTGGCTCTTGACCTTCCAAAATTCTCAAAATTTTTGCCTGCGGCGCTAGACACAATGAAGGGATACAGAGGCTTTAGGAGAAATTGATGGATAGATGGATTTCTCCCGTTATCCTTGCAACTCCCCGATATCCCGTCAAATCCCTCTAAATCCCATTATATCCATCTTAATCCTCTGATATGCCTTCATATCCCCTCAATCCCTTTACATAAGAGGTGGAGTAAGAGTTACCTTGTGGGTTTGGGGATTTTGGGGATTATGAAGGATAACTTGGATAAAGTACTTCTTGCGCCTTCAACTAATCACGAATTAGATACAGAAAGTGAAGATAATGAAGATTAAGTTGATTTTTTAATAAAAATGTTGATTTTGAACAGTAATTTTGGATAAAAATGCTGGATTTTGTAAATTTTCACTTCAACCCCGACCCCGAACCCCGACATTATTTTCAGCCCCGACCCCGACCCCGAACAATTTGAGCAACCCCGACCCCGACTTTGTCAACCCCGAAAACCCCGACCCCCGACTTTTCCAACCCCGAAGGCTCGGGGACCAACCCTAGTTCAAAGGATCGCCATTTTTCAAAAATTGAATAAAGCCAGTTCAGTGCCAACACTTTGAGCGCAGTTATATGCCGCAGTCTGCTAACGGTGATTAAGACGGAAAAGTCAGTCGAGTCTGAACATAATTATGTATTACCAACAGAATCTTCGCTGGAAAAACTCTTCGCTACACGATGGCCGTGCTTCGCTGCGGTCGTGCTCGCTTCGCTCGCGGCGACCGTAGCGAAGCGGCGGCCGTCGTTCCGCTCGACATGCCCGGCTTCCTCCGCAGCGGCAAAAACTTTTTTCCGCGGATTGCTAGACTCTTTTAAACCCCTTTTGGCCGAATCGAAAAGATATGCGGGACTCAAACGTCTACTTTTGGGTGGGTACTCAAAAAACGATCCTTTGAACGTTTATACCCATGGCGATCCTTTGATGGACGATCCTTTAATGGGCGACCCTTTAATACTTTTTGCCCGTGACGATCCTTTAATTGTTTTTAAGACGTTACGATCCTTTGAACGTTTTTAGCCGTGTCGATCCTTTTATGTTACGATCCTTTGTAGGGACACGCAACCATAAGCTTTTACAAATCCCATCAAAAAGCCTTAGGCGTTTAAAAATTAAAGCCTCCTTTGTTGGCATTTTGTCAATTTGGTATTTTGAAAAGTTGACATTTTGAAGTTTCGCTGTAAAATTGGCGCGGATTTGAATTTAAAATTTTTAAAAAAATTTTGGCTTGGATTTTACCTATTTTTCTAAGGTTTTTTAGTTTTTTAAAGTTTAATTTAGATAATTCAATAAATTAATGGCTGACGATATTAATGAAGATATTGATCAAGACGAGGAGATGGATTATAGTGACGACCAGGTTTTCTTTAAAAATCAAAAAAAATTTTTTTTTCAAAATTTTTTCAGGATGATAGGGAAATGTTAAATCGACTTAAACTTGAGCTTGTAAAAAAAGTTGTTCAAAGTGTCATGTCCAGGTTTTTATTTTTTTTATTTTTAAAATTAATTTTTTAAATAAATTTCTAGCTGTACTAAACGTGGTTATTGCAGAGATGGGGACATTGCCGATGTGTTTTCCGGTAGAAAAGAGCGCAGATTGAAGGATAAAGTTTTAAAAATAGTTAAAGAAGAATTTATGAATGTTTTTGGAATGAAGGTTTAATTTTTGGGATTTAAAAAATTTTTTGCGGATTAAATTTGCGGATTTTGATTAATGAGGGGGAGGTTGACGTTAAAGGCTATTTTCTCCCTCACATATAAAATTATTTAAGGAAATTATTAAAATTACTTGTGGTGTAGTTGGTAGTGTCACTAACTTCACTTTTCTCCAAGGGAGGTTCGATCCCTCTTCGTGCCCTCTATTTTATTCCTCTTCTAACCTAACTAATCTATCCCTCCATTTAAAAATTTTCATTTTTAAAATATTTTTTATTTTTATTCCAGTTAAAACGCGATGATGATAGTAAACGATATTATCTCTATAATGGACTTGGAAGCAATCTTGCAATGAACGTTTCTCAAGTTTTATTTTCATTTAAACTTTTTTCATTCAAAAATTTTAGTGGTACGATAAAAGATGTGGGCCTCTTTCCAAATCCTTGGCCTCAGAAGTGCGCAGTTTAAACAGTAATAGTACAAACAATAATGCTTCTGATGATGAGGATCAAGAAAGTGAAAAATTAGTGGTAATTTTTTAAATTAATTTTAGTTGGAGAGTTTTAACTGGATTAATGCTTTGGGGGTTTTTTGGACTCTATCCAAGCATTTATTACGTCTTTTAGGTTAATGCCTATGTTAGGGATTTAAAGAAGGAACCCGAACCCTAGACTTTTTTAAACCCTCTTTCTGGTCTTTATAAAGGACTTGAACTTTAATTTACTCCGTCACAGGACTCTGTCATATTCCGTCCATCAAAAGTAACCCCAATTATTCTTATTTCTATTTGTCCGCAAATATAAGCCAAATTAATTTATAATTATTCAAATTATTTTTTAGGAAAATAGAGACTTTAAACGCTGGTTGCTTACCTCAACTTTAATGTTTATTTTTATGTCAAAACGGCATCAAAGCAAAGGCAATGCGAACGAAAAAGGAATTGATTTTTTGTTGATTAAAGAATTTTTGGTATTTTTTAAAAAATTTTCTTGATTTTTAGTCCAATTATTTTAATCAAAAAAGTAACTAAACTTGGGTTGATTTGTTTCTCTTATAGGTTCTTGCTTATTAAGACAATCATTTTTTGAAAAAAATAATAATTATAACTTGCGGACATTTTTGGGGGAATAAATAAAAAGAACCCTAACTAGAGAAGGTTGCGAGGTGTCTGACCTAAAAACGGTAGAGACCGGGCTCATTTGATAGAGAATGTGCCCTTTCTAGCAAGGATTTTGATGGGACTTTGGAGGGCCATATCTTGGCCAAATCAAAAAACGGGCAAAAACGGCTCAAAATCCTTGCTAGAAAGGGCACATTCTCTATCGAATGAGCCCGGTCTCGACCGTTTTTAGGTCGGACACCTCGCAACCTTCCCTAGTAAATAAAAAATTATTTTTTTTCAGAATAAAATGTTTGACAAATTTAACACTGAACACTTGACAGAAAAACAATATATGAATATTTTAGGCCCGGCAAAATCGGCAGAATTTATTTCACAGGTTTTTTAAATTAAAAATTTTATTAAAAAACATTTTTTAGGGTTGGCTTAAATGTAATATACAATTTGATCAAGCATCAGGAGTAGACGACATTTTTTATCATTGGGGACCACGTGCAGAAACGGTTGTTAGCAAAAAGGTTAGAAAATTTTTTTGTTATTTTCGGGGGTTTTTTTTTAAATTTTCTGAGCGACATTTTGTCCAAAATTTTGCCTTTCTTTCGACATTTTGTCCAAAAATTTTCTGATTTCGTTTTCGGATTTTTTTATAAAAACCAGAATTTAGTAGGTACTTTTCCAAGAATTCAAATACCTCTAATCATAATTAATTTAAAATACTAGGAAATACTCGAAGAATTCGTAAGGATTTATGGTGGAACAATTAATGATTGGCCTAATCATGCGAAAGCAGCTGGCGTTAGAATTGAAAAGAATTAAATTTTGTATATTTTCTACTTTTTTGCTTCAAGTATTTTGTTTAACCTAGAAAATTACCCTCTTTTAAGTATATATTAGTCACGATTCTCTTCGAAATATTTTTAATGTTGCTATGCTTTAAGGTTGTTGGGACCCGTTTTATTAAGCTGTTACCTTCGGATTTTCGGTCATTCCAAAATTTTAAAAACTCAATTCTCGGTTTTATTCTTTCAGTAAACTATCGGCTTTGTTTTGGGGAATTAAAAAAAATCCGCTCATTTTCAAGAATTTTTCGATTTTAAAACAGGTCTCCAAAAACTCTGTTTACTACTTTTAATAAGCGGGATAAAATGTCATTTGTACAGAAAAATTTTTTATTTGCTTAAAATAAATTAAAAAAGGAAAGGAGACATATTGAGACGGACATATCGAATAAAAAATGTATTATCCAAGACTCAGTGGCCGTATGTCCAAAAGGCAATAGAGTAGCTGTTCGTACATTAAGATAAAACCCGTATTTTTTTCAACACTAAACCCGATCCGAGGATTTTTTTAAGACCTGACCCGTTTTTATCAACCCGAGATAATTCTCGATATGTCTGGCTCCCTTAGAAAATACTGACATGAGATTTTTCGGCTGTAGTGTAGTGTACCGGTGGTAAAAGTTCAGGATGTGACATATGTCATTCGATTCGTCTCGACGAGCTGAGTCGAATGGTACCACTCCCTATTTTAGGAAATGATTCTGGACCGAGTTATAGGTCCCGAAAAATTGAAAAACCAAAGGGGGGAGTAAGCTCGATTTTGGGGTGAAAAATTCGAATATGCAAATAATAGCTCATTCGAAAGAGCTCGTCGAGCTGAGTCGAATGACACCAAAATCAACGAAATCTGACTTGATTTGACAAAGTTATGCTCGTTTGTTTTAGCTCCTTACCTATGGCATCTGTGGAGATTTTTGCTGCTACGGAGGCCCCAAATACGTCCAGAGCAATGGAGATAGGAATAGGTTTATGTTACAAGCCCAGACCCATCGCCCGTAGACTCCCCGCGAGGCGCGTGCCGCAAAACCCCGCGCGAAGCGCGGGGTTTTGCACAAGCGCCTCGCCGACGCCCCATAGGTTTAGGTTTTTTGTTTTTCTATTGTAACTTTGTCCAAACTTTTACAATCAAGCTGATTTTGATGTCATTCGACTCAGCTCGACGAGCTCTTTCGAATGAGCTATTATATGCTTTTTCGAATTTTTGACCCTAAAATCCTCCCTATGGTTTTTGACCATTTCGAGCCCTATATCTCGACTCCAACTTGTTCAATCAAGCTGATTTTGGTGTCATTCGACTCAGCTCGACGAGCTCTTTCGAATGAGCTATTATTTGCATATTCGAATTTTTCACTCCAAAATCGAGCTTACTCCCCCCTATGGTTTTTCAATTTTTCGGGACCTATAACTCGGCCCAGAATCATTTCCTAAAGTAGGGAGTGGTACCATTCGACTCAGCTCGTCGAGACGAATCGAATGACATATGTCACGTCCCGAACTTTTACCACCGGTACACTACACTATATCCGATTTTTCCCCTCAAAAAATATTTTTCAAAGTCATTTTAAAGATTTAAAGAAGCCTTCCTCATCTTGTAAATTTGTTCCTCACGAATAGGTTCTTTAATTTCCTTCAGCATAGAATCAAGACTATCAATTCTACCCTTTAAATTTTCACTCTTTTCACGTTCCTGACGACATTCTAGAAAGAAAAAAAATTTATTTTTATCCGTTAATATAGTCAGAGCTCATTTTACATACATACCAGGATGGGACGTGTTACCCGAAACCCGGACTTTTTTTCGATCCCTTCTTACTAGGACTGGATCCGCCTTCCGCTTTTTAAAATTCAAAATTCTCCTGCCCTGATACATACTTTTCCCAATTTCTGTATGTAAAGTTGTGATTCGACTGTATTATGTAAAATTAAAAGTTTTTGTGACGAGTTATTATCCGTACTTCTAGTTTTAGGTTAATCCACTTTTTGGAATTCTATGCTTTCGGTTTTGATTTTTGGAAAGATTTTAGAAAATTACTTTAATTTTCAGAAAAAAATCAAAAAAATTTTTTTTTGCAGAAAACTTTTCGAAAACTCTCCAGAAACCCGGTCTCGTTTGATTAAACTTTATAAAATTTATTTATTTACCTTCTTCATTTTTCTTGACTTTATGTTTATATTCACCAACAAGTTTACGTTTAACTGAAAAATTTCTTTTTTTTTCAAAAATATAAAAAATTAAAAACCTTCATCGTTTGAAATATTTTGCAATTTATCACGGTGTGCCTGAATCGTCTTATTAATCTATAAAAAATAAAATTTTCAGTAGTTTTTAGATATCCCATCCGTTCCTTGTTTATCAGTTTTAAAAACGTAAACAAGGAAAAGGAGGGAGAAAGTGGGTATCCAGCAGAGGTCGGAACAGTCAGAGGTGTCGGAAATTGGAAGAGCCGGAAATCGGAACTAGCTCACCAGTCGGAACTCGGAAATCAAAAATTTTTTCGGAACTCGGAAATCAAAAATTTTTTCGGAACTCGGAAATCAAAAATTTTTTCGGAACTCGGAAGGAAAAAAGTCTGAAATCAGAATTCCGACCCATCTCCAGTATCCAGAAAGCTTCAAATTTTTTAAAATTAAAAAACAAACCTTTTTCTCAACTTCGCGATCATCAAAACCAATAGCTTCAAAATCTTCAATTTGTTTATTTATTAAAATTGTAATTTGCTCCCTTCGAGTCGTCAAGGCTCCATTGATATCAAATTTAGGTTTTGTAGTAGAAAATATGGAAAGACGAGAGAGAGCGAGAATTTGATCCATTTTGAAAAATTTTTTTCTAAAAATTTTTTAAAAAATATTCCTAAAAATTAATTAAAATTTTTTGAAAAAAAAATTAAAAAAATATTTTTAATTGAAAATAACAAGAAAAAAAATTTTAATTTTTAAATAAAAAAATTTTTTTAATTTATAGTAAATATAAAGCATTAATTCTTTTAAATAGATCAAAAATATAGGCGAAAATAAGAATAATTGTTCTAGAGAGTTAATGAGACTAGAGAGAAAAATCATTACAAAACAGGAAAAGAAAAAAATATCTTTGGTATATTTTTCCGGAAAATACATTTAAAATGAATAGATTCCGGAAAATATAAAAATATATTTACCTATATGAAATTCCGGAAATACAAATAAATAGATTCCGGAAAATACTTTTCGGAAATACTCTTCCGGAAAATACAAAAATATATTAATAGAAAATTCCGGAAATACAATAGATTCCGGAAAATACAAACAATAAAAGAAATAGAAATTCCGGATAGACAAATAATATGTAGATTCCGGAAAATATAAATAGAAAACATTAAAGTTTCCGGAAATAAAAACACACATTTCTTCCGGAAAATATATTAAATAATTTAACAAAAATTCCGGAAAATACATTTTATTTTTTATTTATATTTTTCATTTCTTCCGGAAAATACAACCATTACCAAAAGAAATAGAAATTCCGGAAAATATAAAAAATTTAAATATAGGTATATGTATTTCCGGAAAAAGAATTATAGTTAATTATAGTATTATTTGGTTATACACACATATAAATGGAATGGCACATAGAATATATTGTTTAATAATTATATATGGCTAGATATTTTTTAGGAGAAATTATATATTCTTTTTTATTTTAATTTTTTAATTTTTATTTAGAAGAGGTAGTCTTATTATTACAATTATCATTATCCAAGCAAACAATATGGTAGAGAGGGGCCTAAAAATAAAAAAAATTTTTTTTTATTTTTTTCTAAAATTTTTTAACAAAAGGAGAGAAACGCCCAAGAGTAGGCGCAGAGCCATAACTAGTTGGAAAATTTCTGAACCTTAGCAAATTTGGTACCAATCTCCTTGGCTCGATGAGAGGAATCGTCTACTAAGTTTTGAAAAATTCAGAAATCTTGAAGCAAGTTATGACTTTGCGCCTACATGGGCCGTATCCAAAAGATCCCTCTTAAAAATTAAAAAGACTTCTAAAAAAATTTTCCTTCTCCCAGACTAACCTTATTTCCATCACTTCCATTAATTCCTCCTCCTCCATTATGTTCATGTCCGACTCCATTAATTTTATTTTTTTCTTCATTCTTCATTTTCTCCCAAGCTTTAAATGCAGAGATTTCCTTCTTTTCTTTTTTCTTGTTTCGCTGTTCAAATTCCAAACTTAAAAAAAAATTTTTTTTTAATTTATTTTAGAAAAAAACCTGTTTTTAATAATTCTTTCAATAATTAATTTTGTAGTCATTTCATTACCAGAATCTACTTCCATAAATATTCCCATACGTTTTGGAAAACTTTAAAAAAAATTTTTTTTAATATTTTAAATAAACTACATACTCATAACGATCAATTCCATCAATATTGGCATGAGAAGATTTTATTTTCCCACGAATGACCACATCAATTTTGAAACGTTTTATTAGCTCTTCATTCACACACAAAGGAGCGCCAATTATAACTTCAGAAACTGGCTGGAAAAAAAATATTTTCTTAGAAAAATTTTCAAAAAATGGCTCTAGTCCAGTTTATAAGTCCAATATAAAATTATGAAAAAAAAATTTTTCATTGGACTCACAAACTAGACCAGAACCAAAAATTTCCAAAAAAAAACCTTGTAAGCCAAAACACTCAAAACCCTTTCGTGTAAAGTCATTATTGGATAATTCCTTCCCTTGTAAACATTCACATCTTGATCTGTATATAGGCCAACAATAAGATAATCTCCATGAAGTCTGGCTTGTTCCAAAAAACATAAATGGCCAATATGGAAGAGATCGAAAGATCCACAGACGTAAACCTTTAATAAAAAATTGATAGAAAAATTATTTAAAATAGGGGTGAGACACTGAGAGCCAAATCCTAATAAGCCGATCCTTGATTGGAGCCTGGGCCGACAAGTGTTATAAATACAATATTTGCTTTGTACCCTCAAAAATACGCTTTATGATCGACCCGTATTTCTCCACCTCCCCTTGGCCACGAGCTTCAGTTAGGACATTTACATAAACAACTAGGACCGCAGCAACTAGGACCCCAAAGAATTCAACTAAAAAATGGAAAAAATAACGAACAATTTTATCTCCGGGTGCCGGTTGATGACCTTCCGCGAATTGCATAATTGTTTGAGTAGAAGGAAGAAAACGGGAAATACATGTCCACGGAGACCGAGCTTCTTGATCTGTGCTGAGTTTTCTAGCATGGTCGCGTTCTGCTTCATCAAGGTCATTTTCATGGTTTATATGGTGGGTCTTTGTCAAAAGAAGCATACGACCGACAAGGTCCTTAAAATTAAAAGTAAATATGAAAATCCTCAAAAAAATTCAAAAAATTTTTAAAATCGGCAAAAATCGAAAAAATCCGCAAAGTCCCCCGAAAATCCGCAAAAAAAGTATTCAATAAAAATTTACTGTTGTCGAAATCCCAGCAGTTCTAGAACATTCCTTATATCTCCCAGCAGCCTTAACCTCAGCATAAGTATCTTTCCCATCCGCAGTAAGGGTTATATCATCTCCATGAACACAAAAATCACAATTGTAGCGGTCTAAAGTAGCGACTGTTGTGACATAAGGAGCGCCCTCCACAACCTTTTTAAATTTAAAA